GGCGCAGCATCAGGAGAGTGCGCCAGAAGTGCACCGCGGCTTTGTCGGCGTCTGACCCCTCGACAGCCTTCCCTTCCGCCTGCCATTTGTCACGGGTACGGGGAGCTCAGAAAAGGTCGGCAACACGACTCGGCGGCAAGCTACGAGGGCGTCGACTAACATACCTCCTTCAGCATGTCGTCGACGCCGGGGAATATGTGCTCGGCGAGGAGCTTCAGGAGCTTCTCGGAGGGCGGCACCCTGCTCCGACCCAAGAAGTAGTCCTGCTTGTACCCCGAGTACCCGGCCTTCTTCATCACCACCCCCACCGGAATGGCGGTGATGTACGCTCGCGTCATCTTGTCGAGAGCCCAGTGTCCAAGCTCCGCGATCTCGGCGCGCGGCGTGCCGTCGATAGCCAGCTCCTGGGCCCCGCCCGCTCGAGCGGCGTGCACGTTCCTCTTGCAGAACACCTTGTTGGTGTCCCACAACTGCCGCGTCCAGCGTTGGTGGGTTGCCGCAGAGAGCTCACCCTGGTCGGTGTCGTTTTTGGCGAAGAACAGGTGCTTCTTGTACCAGCTAGCGCGTGTGCTGGTGTCGACCGGCGGAATGAGGCGGACGCCGTGAAACTGACCGATCTGATCGAGGACGAAGTGCAACCACAGGCCCGTCTCGCCGACGGCGCACAACTCCGCTTCGAGGTGCCGCGCGGCGTAGCTCTGCTGCAGACGAGCATCCTTGGACGTCTTCGAGTTCCGCGCTCCGATGACCATGACGACCGGCTGGTTCTCCGGGTTGATCGAGGAGGTGCTCGCCAGTCGGTACAAGAAGATGTCGGGGAGAGTGATCTCGCGGATGCTTGCACCGCGCAGGAGAGAGTGGTGGGAGAGTAGCGTGAGCACCTTCAAGAGAAGAAACCTCCACAGCGTCTGCGAAGGACCCGTACCCCGCGGGTTCCACGCCTTGGCCGCCCACGCCGGCAGCACCCTGAACATGATCTGGCGGAACTGTTCGGCGGTGTAGGTATCGCCGATGGTTCCGCGACGGCGATCGGCGCAGTTCCTGCCAACAATGCCATGGGCAAGGGGTATTTAGGGCGGCGTCGACAAAGATCATGACAGCAGGAGAGTGGTCGACGTAGGTTAAAACATAAACTCACTTGATGTCCCGCTCGTTCTTGGTGCGGATCATGTACCGCACCTCCGACCTGACCACCGATATCTCCCTCATGATGCTCAGTTCCGTCTCCCGGAAGAGCGTCGCCTCCACTCTCGCCGCCATCTGGCATGCCTTTATGCGCCCGAGGAGCGTGTGTACCGTTGTCGACTGCACCGGCTGTGTTCCTGTGGCGTTGTCGGCCCCCTTGCCGGACTCGGCATCGAGGTTCAACTCCCGAATCATGTACTTCACGTATGCGCGAAGCCGGTCCTTGGTGACCCTAGGGCCGTGCAGCCACACGTGAGACCGGGGGACATCGGCCTCTTGGTCCCAGTTTTTCTTCTTGTTCTCCCGGATGTAGTGCCCTATCTCGTCGACGTGCTTAAGCCTGTACTCCTGCGGAAGCTTGTTGCGAATTTGCTTCAACATCTTCGCCGCCCACCTCTTGTAGTGATAGATCCACGAGGTGTACTGCCTCAGCGTGCTGTTCCTCTCCACGGTTTGCAGGTGGCGAAGAGCGTCCATGACGAGCACGTCTACGCACGCGTAAACCATGTCCTCCTCGACGAAGTCTGCCGCTCTCCACTGTTCGCGCGGCACCGCCAAGTTCTCCTGGTCCTCGTCCTCGTCCTGGTCGAGCAGTATGTCGATGAATTGCAGTTCCCGCCTGAGTCGTTCGTCCAAGGTGCGCGGATTAGAGCTACGAGGTGGACGGTCGTCGTTTTCGTCATCGCTTTCCTCCTCCTCCTCCTCCTCCTCCTCCTCCTCCTCCTCCTCCTCCTCCTCCTCCTCCCCCCCCTCCTCCTCCGCGTCCTCGTCATCGACCTGGTTTCCAGGGGCGGCCGGTGCCGACGAGGTACCTGGCCGACCATTTTGCGTAGGAGTCTGTTTTTTCTTCTTGTTGAACTTCCCTATCGGCGGTGGCGGAACGTCCGTGGTGAACACCCCTTCTGGGATCTGCGTCAGCTTGTCCAGATCGTAGAGTAACTGCAGGTTGTCTTCGTCGGTAGGTGTCGGACTGTGGTCGGTGGATGTCGGACTGCGGTCGGTGGTCGTCGGACCCTGGTCGGTGGATGGCCTAGCGTCGGACATGTCGACGTCGGCCATGTCGGTACACGTCTGCTGCTCTACCGTCGTCCGTGTGCGTTGGGGAGGTTGTTAAACCACTGCCGGTACTGAGTCACGGGTGCGGTGTACGCCCGAACAGTTGCGCGGCGGTCGTCCTCGAGATGTCCCTCAATAACGTCTATCTCGGCGTCGACCTCGAGATCGCGGGGGGTGGTAAACCAGAGACGGTACTGTGTGACGGGTGCGGCGAACGCGCGAAGCGTCAGGCGGTCTTCGTCTTCTTCGAATTCTCGCTCAAGCGCGTCTAACTCGGCTTCGAGTTCAAGCTGTTCCAGCTGCGCCTTGATGTCGGCGTCTACCGAGTCGGCGGGGGGTGGGATGGGTTGCGGCTGTTGGGCCCTCGGGCGACCTCTGGCCATGCGTCGCCGACTTGCTACGTCGACTCGCGACGTGGAACCTGTGCCGACTTGGACGAACAATCGGCTGTCGAGCAACCTACAGGCGCGATGACAGACTGGCAGCTGAAAATTCTAAGGGAACGAGAGAGCAGGAAGGAACGCAGGAACGGACAAGCGAATGAGCAGGCTCGCGGGGCAACGGACGGGTATGGTCCTGAGCGACTACGATGCTGCCGCGCGTCACGCACACCCCAATGCATCCGCCGCCGTGCATGTGTTCTCGTAAAGGCGGCGCACTGTCCGACGTGGCACGTGCCAGGCATGGCTAGCTGGGCGCCGCGCTGCACGGAAGGGGCGTAAGCCAGTGCCATTCCACGTCGGAATGGGCGTGCGTTACGTGGCTTGCGACCGCCATTGGCGCCCCAGTGCAGAAATTAAGGCAAGCAGACATGGATCTCCCGGAGGCCCGGGATGACTCAAGCACGGCGTGGCAACCATGCCGTGGGGGGCCTATGATCGGCGCCGACTTCCACTCGGCGCGCTTGGCAGAGAACGTGCCGTGTGGCCGGGTTTGTGTGCCTTGGGATGATCTGGTCGACACCGACTTCCCTGGCAACCCGCGATGCCACAAGACAGTGAAGATGTGGACGGTCCGATTTGCGCCGCGTGGGTTTGCACCGCTAGAGCGACGCGTGGCCACGACGCCCACGTCGTGGCAGCCTTGTAATCGGTGGGGCGGGTCTCGCACCTCCCTATTGGTCCGCGTGGAGGCATCCGCGGCTCGACGTGGCGAATTTTGTCCGCTGAGATTTCCTTCTCAGGAATCTCCCAGCGCAAACGGGTGTCGTCGGATTGTCGACAATCCCGAGGGCTCCCGAGGCCCCTGGGACGCCATTTGGGCCCGTCTGGGAGCTCGGAGGTCGTCGGGAGGTCGTCAATCCCGAGGGGGGGCCTTGTCCCTTTTGAACCGCGAAATTGGGCGGCATTTTTCGTCCGCTGAGGTATATCAAGCCAGATCTCTCGTCTTCTCATCTCGGCAGTGGCACTGCAAATGCCAAGCCTTGCTGCGAGACATAGAGATAGTCACGACAGGAGTGCGGAAAGCGAAGCGATCTGCTCGGGACTTATGGGCCCTCTTGCCTTACCATGCGCCTGTTGGCCTTATTTAGTGATTCCTCCAGATATTCCGCCATTCTTGCTCGGGGATTGGTTCACCGCAGCTGTAACCCTCGCGATATTCACCCCAACCAATGGCACCTTCGTTCCCTTGTTGTCGGAAAAGAGCGTGCGCCGGAAAATCTGTCTGGGTTGTTGGGTAGAGTGAAGAAGAGCCTTTCCTCGCGGCGAGGGTACGTACAAGTTCACTCAGATGCTTACCGCGGTCACGGCCTGACGCACTTTAGTCTATCCCTCACTTCGGTCCATCGTGGATTAGTTCGTAGTGATCTGAATATCTCACTTAGTCTCTGCCAATCGAGGTGGTTGGCATATCGCCGTCAATCAGATTTGATATGGCCTTCCTTGTTTCTAGGAGCCTGCAGCGATCGCCGATTCCGCTCTTCGTTGCCCTGCCAACATGCCACCATCGCAAGTTGCTGGTCCCATGGCGACACCTCAGTCGCCTTAAAGAGGAGGTCACCGCGTCTCGTGGCCTCGTTTCCATTTAAGGGGAGAGCCGCCGACTCCCAGACTCACAATTGTCGCTGTATTAGTGGGATTGGATAAATACAAGTTCCTACCTCTTCCGCGCAAACGAGAAGCTTTTCTTAGAGACGGAAAAAAGGCTTTCAGGAGCGCATCGCTACCCGCCGGCTTTTCATCGCTTTCAGGCTTGCATCTCTCCGTGACCACGCGGTTGTCAGAATGGGAATTTATCCAGCGCTGATACCTTCCCATGTCAGGGAAATCCACCCCGCTCTGCTTTCAGTGACCCCGCGCAGGGCTGCTTCCGAACCCGAGCTAACCGCGATGGTGCAGCGCCGCAGGGTCGATCTCAATAGAAGGGGACTTGTCAGGAGATTCAGTGATCCGCCGTCGGTTGAATCCAGTCTTCCGTCTGCGTTCGTCAGAAATGGTGACAGACATTCCGACGACGAGGAGGCGGGCTTTAAGGACATGAAGGAAGTGCTGTGGCTTCGGCAGAGGCGGTTGGTGCTGGGGACGAGGCATGGCACGCCCTGCTCCTTCCCACATAGTCGGGATTCCAAAGCACTCCCTCCCTCCCATCGACGACTCCTTCCCGCCACAGGAATTCGGGACCTCAACCGCTCCTATTCTGCTGGTTTCCGTGTTCCAGTTGATGCAGTCACTGTGAATCCTATCGTGATTCCTAACTTGGCTCCTGACATGGCTCTCAACATGACTCGGGTTCCTATGCATCTCTCGGGTGTGGCCATTTCAGCTAAACGGGCCAGTGGCTGCCACCAGAATGAGCAAGTGAGGAGATGCGTCAGTGACTGCTCTAGCCGGACATTGAAAGCCAGCAACAGTCATGGTTTCAGCCACGGAAGCAGCCATGGTAGTAGCCTTGGTAGCAGCCTTGGAAGCGGCCATGATAGCAGCCATGGTAGCAGCCTTGGTAGCAGCCTTGGTAGCAGCCTTGGAAGCGGCCATGATAGCAGCCATGGTAGCAGCCTTGAGAGCAGCCATGGGAGCAGCCTTGGCGGCAGGAGGAACAACCACGTGTGCAGTGGAGTACGAAGAATTGATCGGAGCAACAGCTGCAATTTGCGAGGCTACCAAGGAAGCCAGTCGTCCAGATTCATTGATCAGACTGTCTGCACTGGCAGTGTGCGAGACAAGACAGGTGGAGCAATGAGCGGTATGAGCAGAAGTAACAGAAATATCAGTGGCAGCAATAGCTTCCCAACCTATCGTGGAAGCCATGCTTCGAGATGCACAACTCACGGCACCAACCACAGCAGCACAATAAGCAGCTCCGGTGGTGCAAGAAATGGTCGCACCAGCATCACCAGCTGCCCCAGCTGCCCCAGCCTTCCAAGTTACCACCGAAGTCAGGTATCCAAAGTCATGCCATGAACGGCCAACTAATGCAGCAATGCCAGACAAGAAGCATCCGTTGGTGCAACAATGGGTGTGTCAGTGTCACCAGCAGCCATAACTTCGCAAACTACCACAAGAACCAGACATCCAGCTGCATTACTCAGACCGAGAAGCATGGCAGCGCAAAGAACTTCTTTTTTGGAGCAGCAAGTGGTTGTGGGAGCATCCATATCAGCCGTGGCTTCCTACGCTACCGTACGAGCCGCACACTCAGCTGGATATTGCAGTCTACCAACCATTGCAGGCATCCTGCAGACCAGGCTTTTGTGGTGGCAGGCAACGCTGCCAGCAGATGAAATCGTGCATGAGAGGAGAGGTTACCACCACGGAACTGTATGTAAGCACCTCGTTTAAAGAGTCTATAGGCTGTGATTTGGATATTGTACGACGAAAGATGTTTTACCTCTGAGATGTTAGTCTGTGCTGATGCCAGTCATGATTTAAGAAAGCCAAATGTGGAAAAAGAAAATAGTAAGATAGTGGTACTGTAGAAGAAGTAGCAGGAGCGGAAAAAATAGTGATGGCACTTCACTCTGAGGATGAAATTACGATGTGAATGTGAGTGTGACTAATTAAAGTTGTCATGCCTCTTTCTCTTGGGGTGGTCAAAGAAACAGGGGACGTTAGTCTGCTAGAGAGGACTGGGGAGGTTGACTGCAATGAGAAGGCAAACGCGCGGAATCTTGAAATTTTGGTGTTGGATGGTACAAAACTCATCCTCATAACGCAGTCCTCACAATTGAAGCGGAGGAACTTCGTCTAATTTATGGAACGGTGTAGAGCGGTGCCTCGAGAAGCAATATCTTTGAACACGTTGTATATGCGATGCGGATTTTGATTTTCGTGCTTGTACAGTGCAGGGTTTCGTTTTGATAGCTTTCCTTCCTTTTCTTCCCATCCGCCCATGGGCACACTTGCATCCACCTTTCTCGCTGCGGCGAACAAAATCCGTGATCGTGAAAAAGATGCGGAACCCTTTTCACCCCTCACAACTCTCCTTCAAGAGGATAACAAGAGGCCCCTCACAACTATCAAGATCCGCCGCGACATACATTAACTGCCAGGCTACTACGGCTCACTCTGCTGACTTACCACTACCAAACTGCTCTTAGGACGCCCTTTTTTTAGCGCGTGCTTGTCGCCGTGTAAATGTTTGTTTCGCCGATGTGGGTACCACCAGTTGGAGCATCCAAACAAGCACCGCAGATAGCAATGATCGGATTTGCAAGCCTTCCTCCTAGTCGTATTCGCGCTACGCACGTGCTCTGGGTCCGTCCAATGTCTCGCTGCTTCGCCCATCAGGGCTACCCACGTGAATCGTACGTCCTGCCTTTTACGCTGCCCCTTACCACGTGCCGCCCGGTTTCGTGATCCGTACTCTCACCAGAACAAGTCGTGCGGGACCCAAAAAACGGTGCTGGCGCGGTTCGTGACCCAAACCGTATACACTGCCTTTATACGAAGTGACGTGGCGTACAGCATCTCACCACCCGGTCCGGGACACGCTTCGGCTTTACAAAATCGCATCCGAAAATGCTCCAAAAGGGTGCAAGAGGCGGCTCGCTGTAGATCTTATCCATAGACAGCTTGACTGAGGTTTTGAACCGCCCTCAGTCCCGCTTTGGTCACGGCAGGCAGCGGCTGCTCGAACCGACGACTAGTCCCCTCCTATTGCACGATTTGACTTATTCCCCGCTCAGTCCTAGTGGCCTATTCGCCGATTTTGACTTCCAGGCTGTCCTCGATCAGCACGTGGGCGGTCACGTCTCGTCTGCTCCCCTTCGCGCGAGCCGGTTCTATCAGCGCATGCCACGTCGGGTCGAGGACTGCCTTCGCGCATGCCGCGCCGTTTCCTCACAGCTCGAAAAACAACTGGATCTCGGACTTCGCCGGCGGCCGGGTCACTGTTCTGCGCTGCAAATGAACATGCGCTGCCGAACAGCATTCGCGGTGGCGGGGCGGGGTGAATCTGATTTTCTACAGCCAGAGTATCGGGTCTGATGACGTCAGCTTCGCGGATCCTTCGCCTCGCAACTCACTCACTCCGAGTGAGTCCAAGAACCGCCCGAGTCAGCTTCAAGCCGTGAGTTCTCTCCCGTGAGTGTACTATCCACTGCCGTTTGCCCGATGAAGGCCGCAGTAGCATGGCTGCACATTTCCGCCGCCGTTGCCGCGCCGCGCGGCCTCCACTTCCATACGGCTTCAGTTGTCTCTCTTTTCCTTTCTTTTTTCCCTTTCCCGTGGCTGTGGTTTTGTATAAAGGGAGAGTCGCTTCCGAGTCTGAGCAGCACAGCACAGCTTTGTTGAGCGAACGTCCTTTTGTGATTGAGAGTCCTCGCGGATCCGCCCCGCGCTCCATGCAAAGCGATTCCTGTGAGAGACTCAGTCTACCAAGACTTAGTCTACCAAGACTCAGTCTACCAAGACTCAGATTGATTTCCCTCCAGCGCTGATTCTTACAGTGGACTGGCTCTTTACGCAACTCCGATTTACTGGTACCCCTCCCCTGCTGAGGAAAGCCTTCCCTCCAGCGCTAATTCTTACAGTGGTTTCGTTCTTATGCAACTCGGAGTTACCGGTTCCCTTCCCCTGCTGAAGAAAGCCTTTCTTCCAGAGCTGATTCTGACAGTGGACGACGCAACTCGGAGTTACCCCGCCGGTACTCTTCCCTGCCAAAGAAGACCCTTGCCTGAGCTTGGATTGAACCAAAAAGAGAGCTTGAATCTCGGCTTTTGGCTGTTGCGTCAACCATGGAAGCTTCTGCAACAATCCAGCAGCGTGGTCACAGTGTGCGTGCACTGGGACAGAGGGCTTGTACCGCTGACTGCGAGTGCATCTGCCACGGATCAAGCGCTTCTTATGCCTCTGTAGTTACCCGCAACGCACCTGAGCGAATGGTTACACTCAACGGCAATCTGAGAGGCCACGAGACCAGTTCTCTTTCCCTGGAGGCTACTCCCTTGCAGGCGAACCCTCTGCAGCAAGCCGTTAACTCGGTCGAGTTAACCAGAACCCAGCGGCTCGATTTGCTAAGGTCAAAGCTGAAAGACGTATGTGGTTGGGCTGAACAGAAGCTGCGAGGCTGATTCGGATGAGGAGGAGGAGGAGGAGGACGAGGAGGAGGAGGGCGAAGAGGAGGAGGAGGAGAACGAGGAGGAGGAGGCGTGTAAAGACATGGAGGAAGTGCTGTGGCAGGGGCAGAGGCGGCTGGTGCTGGGAACGAGGCATGGCACGCCGTGTCCCTTTCCCCATGAACGGATAAGCGTATGGAGGAGCCACCGCTCAACTGGCAAAGATTCTCCGTTCCCATCGTCGGCCTCCCTTCCTTGCACCTTCCCCCCTGGCTGGATCAGTCGCCGTTCTGCTGGCAGTGACTCCCTGTACCCATCATCTACCTCCCTTCCCTGCTCTTTCTCCCCCAGCCACACCAGTCGTCACGCAGCCAGCAGAGGAACTGAACCAGCGCCCCTCACCACCACGAGACCCTCCCTCCAAGACCCCCTTTCTGAGGCGCCTGGAAAATCCTTCCCTCCTGGGCGCACCAGTCGTCGCTCAGCCAGCGATGGAACTGAATTGCCATTTTCAGGCCCATCAACGGCCTTCATCACCATCAGGCCCTCCCTCCAAGATTCTCGTAACCTCACCCGCAGCCATTCTACTGCAGGCTCCCGCACACTCTACCAAGTGCTCCCCTGCTCTCCTGCTCTCCGCCCACGGGTGCATGGCAGGGGAGAGGCAGGGTTACCACCTTCCATGTCTCCCTTTCCTCTGCACTCCAACCGTGACCCTGCTGCAATGCGTGGCATTCGCTTGCCTTTGCATGGTGTTGCTTTGTCCGGTGACAGGGGAAAGGCTCACAGGGCTGTTGGGGCTGATTGGGGATGGAGCAACATCCGCGAATACCAGCAGGTGCCGAGATACTCGGACTACTCCGACCTCAGGAAAAATGCAAAGCACTTGGAAGCCAGCAGCAGTAGCCATGGGAGCGCAAAGGAATCTTTCGATGTGGCTACGAGTGGCCGAAGTATCAGCAAGACCACTCGCAACAGCAGCTTTCCAGGAACCCACAGGAGCCTGGCGGCAGGTAGCAGAGGGGATGACATGAGTAGCTTCCCGAGCAGAATTCAATATGCTAAGCGCGGCAGTGAGCACATGCATGCTTCAGCCAGCAGTTGAGCCTGACTTAGCAATTTGGCAAGTGCCGAATCAAGATGCGAGTACGTTCTAATAAGGGGAGAGCAAAAGAACGAGGGAGGTAAATTCGTGAATTCGGATATGCGATGTGGTGCTAGCACGTGCTCTTCGTGTGACTCAGGTTACAACAGTCTACGGTATGAGCTCTTAAGTCTGTTGTGTTAATGCTTGCTGGCTCAATGGGAGGCCACGCATGTAGGGAGACAGGTACTGATTCAGCCTTTTTTTTTAATACCGTATGATTTGAAACTCGAGAATGTGAATCTTATATGTTGTTTGCCCAAGTGCCGGTATGCTACTTGTTGCTAACATTGATAATCGGCATGAAATCTCACCTCCAGAGTAACAAAAGATTCTGTTACCTTTGCTGCTTCTTAGAGCAGGCTTCCGTTCACCAGCACACCACACAGCCACATGTCACTGCAGAGACGGGCTCTTACGGTAAGCCTTCAAACATACCTACGCTGTAGGCACCTAGATAAACAACAGACAGCTGGTTTTTGCTGCAGGTCAGATCTCCTGCAAAGCCAATCAGAGGGGAAAACGCTGCAGATAGAGCATCAGCTCCCACCTGCACAGTAACCATTTGTAGCAGCTATTTACATAGCTTCTGTCGTTTATGAAGCTCCCACTAGTGCCTTGCGTGGGTAGGTGCGGCCGTTGTCACTATACGAGGACGAAACGCCAGCAGCCAGCTCTATAGCGGATGCAGTTTCATTGTCCAGCGTTTCCGCGCGCACAAAGCGACAAAACACGCAGTCCGAGTGGGCGAGATCAGTACACCTGTAGTCGTCTACAGTACCGTCGATAAACCCCTCCGCGTTGTCGCCAGGAACCACTTGCGTCTTGAAAAGGTTGCTCCACACTAGCTTCTGCCGCTCACTGCACCAAAAGCAACGTAGAAGGGGCAGGAACGAGAAGAACAAAGGATGAGTGGATGTGAAGGGAGTGAGGGCTAGGGGGAGAGGTTGCTCCACACTAGCTTCTGCCGCTCACTGCACCAAAAGCATTGGTGAAGCGGCAGGAGCAAGAAGAGCACAAGGATAAGTGGATGTGAAGGGGGCGAGGGCTAGGGGGAGATGATTTAGTGAGAAAGGGTAGCGAGGGAGAGGAACAGGTGCGGTTAGTCAGGTGGGGTGAAGCTTGGAGGGGAAAGGGAGGATGGAGAGAGAGACGAAGGAGCTAGGAGGGAGAGCGGGGATGGGGAGAGAGAAGGGGCGGGGGAGCGAGGACGGGGTGGGGAGAAAGGAGGGGGTGGGGAGAGAGGAGGGGTGGGGAGAGAGGAGGGGTGGGGAGAGAGGAGGGCGTGGAGAGAAAGGAGGGGATGGGGGGAGAGGAGGGGTTGGAAGACAGGGCGACTCACAGCCGTCCTATGAAGTCAGGGCGGGACGCCTGACCCAGCAGGCCGTGCACGTTGGGTGACAGGGTCGAGCTCAAGAGAGGAACGCGGGCAGTGAACGGCGTGCAGAGGAAATAATACAATAAAAGAAATCCAAGGGCGACAATATTAATGGGACTCACAGCCGTCCGATGAAGTCAGGGTGGGACGTCTGACCCAGCAGGCCGTGCACGTTGGGCGACAGCTTGGCGCTCAAGAGAGGGAAGAGGGCCGTGAAAGGCGTGAACAGAACAGTAAGGGCGGCAACGTCAACGCTACTCACAGTCGGCCGATGAAGTCAGGGCGGAAGGTTTGCCCCAGCACGCCGTGCAGTTGGGCGGCAGCTTGGCGCTCACGAGAGGGAAGTGAGCAGGTGAAAGGTGTGGGGAGGAATAACAGAGCACGAAGGGTACTCACAGCCGTCCGATGAAGTCGGGGCGGAAGGTTTGCCCTAGCACGCCGTGCACGTTGGGCGACAGCTTCGCGCTCAGCACGTCCACCGTGAAGTGCGGACAGGGAGGGAGAGGAGGGGGCGGGAGAGAGAAAGACTCACAGCCGACCAATAAAGTCAGGGCGGAAGGTTTGTCCTAGCACGCCGTGCACGTTGGGCGACAGCTTCGCGCTCAGCACGTCCACCGTGAAGTGCACCACGCCGTCGTCGTCCGTGCGAAGCGCTGCGATCTCGGGTCGCAGCGTCAGCCTGAGCGACAGAACGTCGCCTATGCGAACTTCGTACTCGTCAACCAGCTCGCCCTTCGCGGGTTTTTTCGCCGCTGCCCATCGCAGCTCAACCTGCCCGTCGAAAAACGAGGCGACATCCAGGTGCGTGCCGGGCTGGCCAAGTTTCACGACTTCCGAATTGACCGACAGTCGTTGGAGGTAACCGTTTCGGTAACCAGACTCCCACCCTTCGCGCGCCTCGAAAACGATGGAGTGATGGCCCCACATAATCGAGATCTTTCGCATCCACGTCAGCGCCTTGTTGCGCCCCTCCCATTCGCCCCACCGCCCCCCGAAGTGCGCGTTCACTGCCACGTGTACGTCGGAGATCAGCGCGTAGTTCTCGCCGGGGCGCCCGCTGAAATCGAACCGCGACCCGTCCGCGCCGACGAAGTGCGGGTCGCCTGTTCCGTTCGCCGGGCAGATCTTGCCGACAAAGTTGACGGCCGGCAGGTTGCTGTCGTCTTCCGACGGGTGCACGAAACGGCGGCCATTGCATGCAGCGGCGCCGAAGCAGCTGCAAAGTCCTGCCAGTGGGGAAGAAGGAAGAAACGACGAGGGACCAACGCACGAATAAGTACATCTTTCGGCTTTTGAGGCGTCTCAGAAGCCAAGGGCCATAATTTAGCGACTCGCGAGACTCAAAGTCACTGCGTCCGCGTAACTCCAATGGTGGCATCGGTGAACGGTTCGAGTGCCAGTAGATACCACTTTTGAGAATTCTCAGAAGTCATTTCAACGTACCTCCGGTGCTGGGATCGGTGAACGGCTCGTACTGCCAGTAGACTATGGGGCTCGCCGCGCGCGCCCGTCCGGGCCTCTGGTTGCGGTTCTTGCACTCGCGCCAGCACTCCATGGTGTTGCCGTCATCGCTGCGGTGGCCATCGTTGGAGGAGCTCTCTCCGGCGAGAACGACGGAGTACCTAGGATCGATCGACGTGTCGAATCGGCCGTTGCGGTGCGACCCGGCTTGGCACGGGAAGAGAGGGCACCCGCGGCACCTCCTGTTTGGGCTGGGCCTCTGACGGACGGAGTCCGCCGACGTTCCGTCAGGAGCTCCGTTTCCGTCAGACCCCGGCGTCCCGTTAGAATCTCCGCTACCGTCTGCTGGCTGGAGCTCGTTTGGGGACGTCTGCGAGGGTTCCGTCAGCGAATTATTGACACCGTCGCCAGGGCTGGTATTAGTGGCGTCGCTGTTAGGGGAATTGACAGCAGGATCTCCAATGTCAGGGTTGACGGTGAGATTAGGGTTCGCAACGAAGCCAGGGTCTTGGCCAGGATTGGTCACGGATTCATTATTGTTGAAATCGCTGTTATTAGCGATGCTGTCGGTTTGAGCTCGCGCCCTGGTGACGCATAAAAGCAGAGAAAGAAACAGGCAAAGTCGACAACTGAATCCTGAAGTCTTCATTTTGTTTGCGCGGGCAATGTTGGTGATTCCCCAGCGCTGCCAGTGAGGTGTGCGGATGCGAGTGGGGCGAGACGAACGCAGAGAGTTTTGCCCTGGCGTGTCAGATGAGACCAGATGAGATGGATGAGAAACTGGCGGGATGGAGCGCAGAATTTGAGCTTTCAATTTTGTAGGGTGCAAAGAACGAGCCGCGGATTTTCCATTGACCTGCGGTTTCTTCGAGCCGCTGATTGGCCGAAATGAGGCCGAGCCGCAACCGAAAACAGACAAAACAGGTGACTCGGACGAATTGCTGAAGTTGAGCTGTTACGTACGGATGGGTTTGGCCCTTCGCACACATCCCATCAACCAATTAGGGCCCTTCATTCAGCGTCGCACGCATTGATGTTTGCCGAGTTCCGTCGTTCACCTCGTGAGTCGCAACCCAGCACTTCGCACAGCAGATGAAAGCCAGCCGAAGGTTAGGGCGCGTGTCTTTGAGGTTGAACTTTGGCCAAAAGTTGAACTTTTAGAAAGGTTGTACGCGGTAGGATACAGTTGAGAGACGTGTCGCCACGTTACAAAGCGGTACTAGGCTCGAACTTTGACAATCTACACCAAAAGACACGCGCCTGATCGGTAGATTTCGGTTCATCTTGGTCGATAGGTGGAACATTTCGATTTATTTACTTTACCTGCTTACATTATGCAAACAAATAGCACTTATGCCAAAGACTAGGCTAGTTAATAAGTTCGCCTTTCAATCTCTGAACTTCGAAGTGCACACTTATTGCTAAAAAAATTCAAGTTGTCACCAACCTCCGAACCACTTTATATGATTAATTCCTCCCCCTACCTCTAGACGCGCCAAAGGTCGTTGAACAGCTCATCATCAAGTGCTGCTTGTGCTGAACGACATGCAGCTATGCGCTCTCTGAACTGAGTGATGGCCCTCTTCTCGCTGGCCTTGAAGCGCTGAAACGAAATGCAAAAAACAGGATAGGGACACGACGTTGGAGACAAAAAGAGGGACGGGGGGAAGGTACAGGTATGCAAGGGATCTCTGAACCAGTGCCTAGTAATCTACTAATCTGTTCTCGCCATAATCAATAACCGTGTACTCATTTTCCCGCCACAACTCCATCTTTCTTCGTTCAATTCTATTACACATCACCACCACACACCCCCACTATTGCTCAGTTGCACACAACTCACAATCTTTTTGCCCGTCTGCAGCATCTCTGCCAGGTACTTGAGCCAGAGACTGTTGGTCTGGGGGCACCTGGGAGAGGGACAAGAGATGCCACCAAGAAGCAGGGCGAGAGTGATGAGAAGCAGGACGAGAAGAGGCACGGTGGCTTCGGTGAAAAGAGCAGTGTGTGTGCAAACCGCCAGGGCGGAGTGGGAGTAGGACTGAGAAAGCAGGTGTGCGTGCTTGCATGGAAAGGTGGGAAACGAAAGCACAGGGGTGTTAACAAGAAGCATGCAGCTGGAAAGGACTAATGAAATGCACGCAAAAGCTTATTCAACCTGCAGAGACCAGTGTGGTTTCATTCTGGTTCCTTTGAGGCGTCTCAGAAACCACAACCTACCATCTATCCCAGCATCCTTTCGTCTTCTTCTTCATCTCTCTGTATGTGTCAAACTGCAAATAACACACATCAACACAGCATCATACATCAACACAGCATCATACATCACCACAGATCACCGGAACCCCATGAGGGAGAGGAAAATGCCCCTTTGGACTCCACAAAGTCTAAAAATAGAACCTGCAGTGGCTAGGGCTTCGCTGCACCTGGGGCGGCGCACTCACGGGGGCGGTGCTCACCTGGGGGTGGCCCTTATCGCCCTGGAAGATGGATGGCTCCTGGGAGAGGTTGCTGAAATGCCTTGTAAGGCGTGACTCACCTGCGGCAGCATCGCAACTGGAGCAACGCTCACCTGCGGCAGCATCGTAACTGGAGCAACGCTCACCTGCGGCAGCATCGCACCTGGAGCAACGCTCACCTGGGGGTGGTCCTTATCGCCCTGGAAGATGGACGGCTCCTGAGAGAGGTCACTGAAATGCACTCGCACACCTGCAGAGCACGAGCATACCAGTTTGGGCAGATGCAACCAGGGGCAAAGTTCACAGGCAGGTGCACGTGAGAGGATGCGAGTCAGATGGGGAGAAACTGCTGTAATCACTAGTAGAGGATGCTCCTGGGAGATGGATGGCTCATGAGAGAGGTCGCTGAAACGCAACCGCGCACCTGCAGAGCACGAGCACACCAGTTTGCGTCCGTGCAAACCAAGAAAATTCATTTACACGATTTGAGAGTTTTGAGGCGCCTTAAAATCTGCTTCGAAGAAAGGCACTCAAGAGCGTGCATGCAGATGCAGTTGAACCAGAGAAAAGAAGCACATCCGATGAGGTTGTGAGAGAACGGCACCTGAGTGGAGGCGGGAGAGGGAGAAGTCGATGATTGCCACACGAAGGCCCTTGTCATTGAAGCACCGCTGCTGCCCATTCAGCCTGAACCACTGCCCGCCCTCGCCCTCGCCCTCTCCCTCTCCCTTGCCACCACGCATGATCACTCCGCTGTTACCACCACTGCTGCTATTGGTGTTAGCGTTGCTGCAAGCATTGCTGTTCCCAGTGCTGTTCATGCTGGCAGTGCAGTCACTCAGGGCCTTTGCCTGCTGCCGCCTGTGAGTGGCACCCCTGCCCGTGCCAGCCCTCTGGGGCCCGCTCGCATGTGTGCGATGGATGAGGACGTTGCCCCTGGGTGGATGGGTGGGTGGATGGGGGTTCGTGAGGAGGAAAAGAGTCAAGAAACTTCGTGCATACGTATCGCGATGAGAGTAGGATGTACGAGGATGTCTTGTCACACTGCCACTGCTCCTGCCGCTGCCACTGCTCCTGCCGCTGCCACTGCTCCTGCCGCTGCCACTGCTCCTGCCGCTGCCACTGCTCCTGCCGCTGCCACTGCTCCTGCCGCTGCCACTGCTCCTGCCGCTGCCACTGCTTCTGCCGCTGCCACTCCCACTGCTCCTGCCGCTGCCACTGCCACTGCCACTGCCACTGCCACTGCCACTGCCACTGCCCCTGCCACTGCCCCACCGCAGCGTACCACCGCAGCATACCCCTGCCCCACCGCAGCATACCAGTGCATGTCACTGTTATCAAACGTACGCGCTGCCTCCACCACTGCCACAGCATGCCACTACCACAGCCACACCACTGCGTACCAAAGCCACACCACTGCGTACCACAGCCACACCACTGCGAACCACAGCCACACCGCACACCACACCACACTGCAACGTACCAGTGCAGGTCACGGTGCTCAAACTCACAAGCTGCCTCCGCCACTGCCAGCCCTGCTGCAACCTGCGGTAGGGTTAATGCGGTACAGAGGAGCAGAGTGCAGTGGCAGGTGACGTGGGGCATTAGGGCGAATTGAGGGGTAATGCAGCGGAGTCTGGTGCAAAGGGATGCGATGCGGTGGGGCGTTACATACACACGGACGGTGAGAGATGACAAGAAAGGAGAAACATTAGGGTCTCGTCAAGAGCAACATTGTATCTAAACATGCTCGCTTGCCCCGTCCTCCTCACGTGCCCCATTTGTTGTCCCCTATGTGACGGAAGACGCGTCTAGCGTCTTAGACGGTTGCGTCTAGACGCAGCGTCTAAGACGCTAGACGCATTTCCGCCTAGGTTAGACGCATATTAGACGGAAACCCGGGCAGGCCTAAAAAAATGTTCGGGCAGCCTAAAAAAACTTCTGAGGGCCATGGGGAGGGTGGGGAACATGCACATATGGCACATTTGGGTCAAATTTCCGCCGTACCAAAAGTTTTTCTCCATATTTAGAGTTCACAAAAATCCTCATTTCTCATCATACATAGTTACGGAACCACGCCTCTCTAGCAGTAGCAAACACGAGATAAATAGCTACTACTACCGGGGAAATCTTTTTTTCGGGCTGCCCAAAAATTTTCTACCCAAGCGTCTAGCGTCTAAACTCGCGTCTTGCGTCTAGCGTCTAGACGCTAGACGCAAGACGCGTCTAGCGTCTTCCGTCACATAGGTTGTCCCTGCCGCACCATTCAGCAGTGCTAGTCTCACCTGCAGCAAGATGCTGCGAGCCTCATCAAAGGAGCGCACTTGGGCCTTCTCCAAGTCACTGCCGCCCATCTCCAGAATAAAGACAACGTATGCCTGCCCAGGACAAAAGGAACTTACGTGGGTCAGATATGGTAAGGGGTGTTGAACCAAGCACCTCAAGAAAGCAGCAAAGCATGCCAATCCAAGGGTAGGGAGAGGGGAGGGAAGAAACACGGTGCGTGCATGGAATTGAAGACGCATGGCGCGTGCATGGAAATGAAGACGCATGAAACGCCATAGATTACCCTACAGATGGGAAGTTGATTGGGTCGACTCAGAACCTAAGAAGCATTAAGAGCCACGAATACCTCATTACTGAGCAAGCACGAACTGCCAAATTCACCTGGTAACAAGCGAATCCAAGAAGCATGAGGTCAAACAGATCCTCACCTGGTCGGAGGGGAAGATGCCTGGGTGGTCGTTGAGCGACTCGTTCTCATCCGCCCACTCCTCCCACGCCCGCACGAGCACAGGCGAGTATACACCCCTGCATACGCGCACCCTGCCCAACATCACATGCAATAGGGAGGACACGTGGCAGGAGATGACAGGGTCTAGGTCACCCACAATAGCCACAGAAATACTCGTTACATCGACAAACGTACCCTTCACAGTCAATAGAGGAGGCAGTTGAGTGCTGGAAGTCACTCACGTGCCCATGCCCATTCCCACACCCATGCCCACGCCTCCATGCATACGCCCTTTGCAGTCACACACGTACCCTTTACAGTCAATAAAGGAGGCCGTTGCGTGCAGCAGGCCACTCTCCTGCCCACTCTCGTGCCCATCGCCATGTTTATGCCCCTGTTTGTGCCCGTGGCCATGCCTCAGTCGCTGCAGAGCCATCTGCACTTCCACCTCCGCCAGCATCTCTCCAATGCTCTGTATCGTGCCATGCGATGCCCATGCCCATGCCCATGCCCATGCCCATGCCCATGTCCATGCCATGCCACCCATGCCATATTTATTCATGCCCATGCCCATGCCCACGCACATACCATACACATGTCCATACCCAGCCATGCCATGCCCCATGCCATGCCCCATGCCATAGCACACATGGAAGCATCCATCGCCACCAGCACATGACAAAAGGACAGCAGCTCATGAAAATGGGTACAAGGCTACAAGCGAAGTGAGACGCCTCAAAACGAGGTGCAAGCGAGCAAGTGAGGAGGAGAAGAGTCACAGGGAGGTACCATAGGGATCACATTTTACACCACATGTAGTACCGATAATGAGAACTCACCTCCTCACCTTCTGCCACCTTTTGACGAGTCTCAAAACCTTAGAGACGACTTTTGAGGTGCCTCAACGATCACATTTTGCACCACACAGTAGTACCGACTATGAGAACTCACCCACTCACCTTCTGCCGCTCATTTTTGGCCAGCACTCGGCCCCCACTGACACTAACTTACTTCGGGCAATCTCGTTTTCCCTCCTCACCATGCAGCACCACTGTACCCGCTCACACCACACAGCACCAACTCTCACCTCATGGCACCAAACTGCAACCCACAGCACCGATGATGAGAACCCACCTTCTGCGGCTCATCGTTGACCAGCACTCGCCCCCCCAACCAGCACTATCTTGTTGCACTGCACTCTTCCATCCTAGATGCAACACCACAGCACCCACTTTCACCAATCAGTGTCACCTCTCACCGCACTGCACCCACCCTCACCTTCTGCGGCTCATCATTGACCAGCACTCGGTCCCCCAACTGGCACTATTTTGTTGCACTGCACTCTCATACTTCCCAACCTAGATGCAACACCACACCACCACAGCACCCACTTTCACGAAGCAGCACCGCCTCTCACCGCACTGCACCCAACCTCACCTTCTGCGGCTCATCGTTGACCAGCACTCGGCCCCCCACAGGCATGATCTTAAGGCACACCCCACCATCCACTCCCTCCGCTGCAAACGCTTCCGCAAAGCTTCCCTCCCCTATCTTCCGAATCGTCTTCAGATTACTGCCATGTTCCATAAGACAACATGAGAGCAAGTGATAAGATGAGAAACGGGAGGAAGCAGACGTGAGACATGGCATGCTCCCGTTGAAGCTGCTTGAAAGAGCAAGGAGGGTTTTCTGCAGCAGGCTGGCGCAGGGCCGAGGTGGGAGAAGGGCCATGCAATTTGGGAATCACTTTTGAGAATTCTCAGAAATGGGAGAAGGGCCATGCAAGGTCACGGAGGGTAGAGTGGGAACCGAATGGAGCGAGGCCAGAAAATTGGATTGACGGTTTGATCCAAGGAGCACATTTGAGGCTGGCAGCACTTGGTTTTGAGTGAGGGCCTGCTACGTGGAGCACATGTGCGGCTGGCGGCACAATACTTTGAGAGATCTCAATAAGAATACAGGTAACACTGTAACATAAGTAAGTAGGGCCCTCCAGAACTGAGTGATGGCATGTGTGGCTGGCGACACAATACGTTGAGAGCTCTCAGTGACAACGCAATTAATGTTGTGACAAAGGTTGAGGCTCACCAGAATTGAGTGATGGCTTGTTCCATGGAACACATGTGTGGCTGGCGACAGGCAGCCAGCAATGCACGCAGCCCATCATTCTCCTCCTCCACCACCTCATCCTCCTCATTTTCCTCCCCTTCCTCCTCCACCTCCACCACGTCATCCACATTTTCCTCCTCCTCCACCTCTTCCCGTGCACCACTATCACCGCCCTCCTCTTCATTTTGACCATCATCCGTGCTCCCCGCCTCAATGCTGCAGCTCCCTCTGCTGTTGCGCGCATCAATGCTACTGCTGCCTGACACAGTCTCAGCAGCACAGTCTCGCCGCTCGCCCCCACCTTGTGCTGCCACTTCCGCCCCTTGCTGCGCCTCATTCCCTTCACCGCTCGACTTTCTCCTAACCATGCCCCTCCCTTCTAAAACATCAATGCTGCTGCTGCCTGAAACAGTGTCAGGACCACACTCTCGCCGCTTGTCCCCTGACTCAGCTGTCACATCTGTCCCCTGCTGCCCGTCATCCCCATCACTACCCGACTTTCTCCCTGCCGTGCCCCTCCCTTTGCCCTTCTCCTTACCCCTTGCCTTTGTCAATGCCCGCTCCTGCACCCCCCCTTCCCCTGCTCCTCCTGCACTCTCTGCTCCGCCTGCTCTTTCTGCTTTTGATCGTGCTCTGGTCTTCCACGTGCATACCTTCTCGTCCACTTCCCCCACGTCCTCATTCCCCTCCTCACCTGCCGTCTCCTCACCAGCACATTCAATCCCTCCCACACCACCCCATGCAGACTCAGACCAGCAAGAATCTCCACTAGCCCTTCACTCTCACATCTCCCCGCCCTCTCGTCACCCCTCTCAACCACACCACACACCTCCTGCACCTCCTCAGCAGCACAGCTCACACCCTCCTCGCATCCGACCCCCCTCTCCTCCTCCCGCCTCAATCTCGCACGGCCAGCTTCATTCTCACAAGACTGCTTCTCCCTGTTGCCTTGACGGGCAGGCATGGTCCTTGTGCGCCCGGTGCTTCGAGTTGCACGCCTGCTGCTCTCATCAGGAGTGCCCCTTCTTTCCACTCCTCCTGAAGCGCCCAAGCTGCTCCTTAGCGTGCGGCAGCTGTTCATGCTATGGCGGGTACGTGTATCTCGATGCTCTGGCGGAGCAATGGGCGCATCACCAGCAGCTGCAGCAGGATTGGGAGCAGGAGAAGGGAAGAGAGCAGGAGCAGGAGAAGTAGAGATAGCAGGAGAAGGAGAGATAGCAGCAGCAGGAGGAGGAGCAGGAGCAGGAGCAGGAGCAGGAGCAGGAGCAGGAGCAGGAGCAGGAGCAGGAGCAGGAGAGAATGCAGGATTAGCGCGAACATGGGCAGCAGCAACCACGTTGTGCCTCTTTCCTCGACCAGCATCACCACCGGCGCCAGTGGTAGCCTCTGCAGCAAAAGAAGCTGGTGCTAGCGTGTTTCGGCGCATGCTGCTTCTCAGGACTCGCTGGCTCAGCTGATTTGCTCCTACACTCTGCCGCCCATGCTTCTGCTGTTGCCTCTGCTGCTGCATCTGCTTCTGCGGCTGTGGCTTGTTCTGGTGTTTGCCTCGCTCCACATATCCCCCTCTCACTTGTCCCTCCAGCACAGCCCCCTCCTCGTGAGCACAGGAGGAATCATCCACTTCACCATCACCAGGAGTATCAGAGTCACAAGAACCGTCAGAGTCATAGGAGTTGTCAGAGTCGTCACTGCTGCACGCAGTGAGATCCACCACGTCCTCTTCAATGCTCATGCTCATGCTCATGCCCTCAGCGAGGTCATCAGGATCTAGCAGCAGAGTGCTGCCACAACCAGTTGACTCCCTTAGTCTGTGCTGTGCCTCCAACCCATGAGGCACACCTTCAGTTTCTTCTCTCTCCAGCTCACCAGCACCTCCGGAAGCTGCATCCTCTGAGCACACCTCCTTTGATGACACCTCGATCCCCTCCCCTTTACTTCGTGCATGCCCTTGCCCACCGTTCCCATCCACCACACACTCATTCCCTACTGACAGCTCGCTAAAGGCACCTCTCTTACAGCCACTCTCGGGCTTTCCCCCACCGCCCTCCTCCTCCAGTCGCCCACCTCCAGCTCCCCAGCACCCTTGCACGACGGTACTCTCATCACCCTGCCCCTCTGCTCCGCCCTCTCTTCTCCACCTCCTCCCATCAACCCCTGTGTCTCCCTCCTCCCTCGCCTGCCCTTCCCGGCTCTCACCAACAGCAGTGCTGGCAGGCACAGCTGCCCCACTGCTTGGAGAAATCCCTGCTATTCCAACACCTCCTCCGGGTGTCACAGCGCCTGCCATTGGCCCCTCTGGCTCTGAAATTGCATCTGCCACTGAACCTGCCCCTGCCACTGAACTTTTCTCTGGCGCTGAACTTGCCTCTGGCACTGAGCCTGCCCCACCTCTCAATGTGCTGCCCAGTGCACTGGGGCTAGCGGTTGTGGGGACACTGTCAGAGAGCTTGAGGCTGGTCTGCTGTGACTGGAGGTACGCGTCGAATGAAATCTCTGCCCTAGCAGCAGCCTCCTCCGTATTTTCCTCCTCCTCCTCTCCTCCTCCTCCTCCTCCTCCTCCTCCTCCTCCTCCTCCTCCTCCTCCTCCTCCTCCTCCTCCTCTTCCTCCTGTTGTACTTCTCCTGTCTTTTCCTCAAAACATCCTCTTCCTCTTCCTCCTCTTCCTCCTCTTCCTCCTCTTCCTCCTCTTCCTCCTCGTTCTCCTCCTCCTCCCCTTCCTCACCTCCCTCATCCACCCTCCGCAATGCACCCAACAGCCCAGCTTCCCTAGCCATAAACTCCGGCACCCAGTCACCCCCAACTCCCCCATCGCCTCCCCTATCCCCTCCCCCATCCCCTCTCCCATCTCCACCCCCATCCCTTCCTCCATCCCCTTCCCCATCCTCTTCCCCATCACCATCCCCCGAGGGCGGAACATACCAGCACCACCCCTGAAACGCATCTAGGACACTCTCAACTCCCTCGTCCCTCATTCTCCCTCTATCCACCCACTTGTTCCGCTGCTCCCGCTGCTCCGCCGCCTCCTCTTCCTCCTCCTCCTCCATCTCGAACTCGTCTACTGCCTGGAAGAACGCGCGCAGTCGTTGGTACTCCTCGGCGCACCGGCCCTGCTCTGCTGCGGCTTTCCCGCTGGCCTTCTTCTGCCGCCCTGGCGCTGCTCTGCCCGCTGCTGCCTTCTGCTTTACCCCACTCTGAAGAATCAGGGAAGAAAGGAAAGGTGAAGAAAGGTCAGGAATTAGAGGGCGTCAAGGCAATCATGACTTTCCTGGCGCTCCTCAGCACAACGACCCTGCGCTGCTGCTGCTTTTCTGATGAGATTCCTCTGTTGCCATGACGCTGCTGTGGCCGCTCCCTTCTGCTTCAATCCACATTGAAGACAACCAGGAAAAGGGGAAAGGCGAAGAAAAGGCAAGGGCACCAAGGGGAGCATCAGAGGAGCAGCAAAGGAGCAACAGAGGAGAAACAGACGAGGAACGGCGGAGAGCAGAGGACGAGTTACCTGCGTTGTGGGCGGCGTTGCACTGGCAGTGGAGGGCGACGGTGACAGAAAACTGAATCGCCGCGCCCTGTGTGGATGGGTCGATAGATTGGGGAAGACGGAGCGGGAGATGGGATGAGGTGATAATGGTTCAGGGAGGGCCACATGTGGGAGTCACGGTAAGAGACAGTGCACACACTGCGTGGTGATGTGCTACGCTGCGCACTGCACTCAAGGTACGCATCAGTCTGTGATGGTAGTGAACTATGCTGCAGCACGTAGGGTGTGCTCAGAGCACCACACTGCGTGGCTTCACTGACAGGGGAACACGTATTGTGCATGCATCCTCTGCAAAAGCTGCTTTCATGGATAATTGTCTTGGAAGGTATGCACACTGGCTTGAATGTTCAATTGGCGTTGCACGGATCAGCAGCCATAGATGGTTCTTTCCATAAGAGACTGAGAAAGAGAGACAGTGGATCCTAAGGCTTTCGAATCCAGCTGAAAGCTTTCAAGTCCAGATTTTTTAAATTCGATTTTTTTTACCCACATGATGTGTCGACGCATGAGTTTGAGACGTAAGTAGGTTCAAAGAGCTTTTGGTCGACTACTAGAACTCACCTGCTGGAGAGGGAGGATCCGAAGGCGCTCACGCGCCTCCTCCCACCGCACAGAACCGAGTCACATGCCTGACTGCTGCTCTTGGTTTCTGAAGTCGCCACCGATCTGGTGAAGACGACAGGCGAAAAGAAGAACGGAACGAAAGCAAAAGAAACGTACACACAGCGGAATGAACGCGTTGAAGCGGTGGAATCCGGTGGGCCTCTGCTGTTTGTCATGCCTCTGCTGTTCGTCATGCCTCTCGTTACGACGAGTTGGCTACAGGAAAATGGGACTGTTATCAAGCAAGAATTAAAATGATGCATACGTGCTTCATTACTGAACAAACAATTAGCAACTGCTTGTTTACATGACAATGCTCGCAATACAGATGCATAGTACCGAGGGGTTGTCGATCCCCGTGGCCGTCTCGACTGAGCTCGTATGGACGCCAAGGGACGGCGATTGTAGACCTTCAACGGACGATCACCACAGATGTCAAGTGATTGCGACGACTGCCATGTTGACACTTTGGGGTCTTCGAAATCGGAAGTGGAGTCGACATTGGTGTCATCCGCACGGTAAGATTCTTCTCGGTCGCTGGGAACGGACGGCGATGGAAGAGCTGCTGTGGACTCGGAAGCTTTTGCCGAACCCATTCTTAGCGCACTCGACCGTGGAGGCTTGGTCCTGACCATATTTCTACTCTAATCGCTTTGGAAGCGAACGACAGGCTAAATAAAACGTCTGATAGCTACTCAAACAGCTCTGGACACGAAGGTTCTTCTTCCATGAAACGCAACGACGATCACGCAGGCACTCTGACGGAGTTCGTCACGCAGACATTGCTTCACGATAACAGGATCATTACTGCATGTATCGAAAAAGGGCAAACAGCGTGATAGGCGTTAGCTAGCTACCTAATGCATTCGGATTCAACTTCAGAGAAACGATCTATGAGAAATTGCAGCCAGTGGAGAACTTACTCTCAGGGGTCGAGAGTTGGTTGGAACACCGAGGAGGAGATTTCGAGGGAGCGACTTCGAATGTGGGCGGGAAGAGAAGGAAGGAAAAGAATTACACCTGATTGGGCAGATAGATTTGGCGGGAAATCTGACACCCACAGTTCGGAAACTCTGAGGCTTCGGTGTAGCGTTCATGAACATATATGAAATGTGCATAACTGAAGAAAAGTTCCATGTGAAACATTTCAGTAATGTTGGCAAGGTAAGGCAACCCCTATCGCCTTGTTGGCCATCGTCAGGGGTATCTGGTTCGGGCTCAAAAGCTCGTCCCAGCAAAGCTTACCGAAACTGACACATTCGCTAGGTTCATGGCTTTCACCGATATCAATTACCCCGAGGCTCGTCGCGATGAGTCCGTTGTCGACGACTATCACGGGACGAAGGTTCCCGATCCATACCGTTGGATGGAAGATCCCGATAGTCAGGAGACTCGCGATTTCGTCACAGCGCAAAATGCAGTAACGAATGAGATTCTATCGGGGATAAAGGATAGGGAGAAGCTGAAGGATCGACTGACGGAACTCTTAGATTCTCCCGAGTACGGTTGTCCGTTCAAGTATGGCAGCAACTACTTCTACTTTCACAATACTGGGCTCCAAGCACATAGTGTTCTCTACATGCAGGTTCGTTGTCAGCTATACGCCAATAATAAAAACCGTCATACTCGCACGATAGGCTACTATCCTTGGTAAAGGCTCCAGTTTTTGATCCTGCATTAATTAGTTTGCGATTATTTATTATACTCCAAACAGAAATCGCTAGAAGACGAAGCCGAGATACTGCTGGATCCGAACACGTGGAGCCACGACGGGACTGTATCTCTTGGCACGTACGCTTTTAGCGAGGACGGCGAGTACCTGGCGTACGCCGTGAGCCAGAGCGGCAGCGATTGGAACGCCATCAAGGTGCTGCGCGTGGGGACCAAGGAGAACGAGTCGGACGAGCTTAAGAATGTGAATCACACGTCCATCGCGTGGACGCACGACAGCAGGGGCTTCTTCTACAGCCGATACGACGGTACAGTGCATTGCTCATGCTCAATTCAATACGTTGTGAGACAGAAGTGATATAAGTTGTGGAAGTTTCCAGAGGTGACCCTGGCATAGCTCTATAACGTGACCTTCACGTCCATTTCATGGACGCACGATAGCAATGACTTCTTTTACAACCGATATGACGGTACCAGCTTATGCTCACGTTCACCATGTGCTTGTAACGATGGTTACTTCTGATCTCGCACACGTTCTCTTCCGTTGGTTCACTTAAACCAGCACGCTCTTGGACTACTTAGAGTCAACCCTCCTCCCAGCCTCACGATCTCTCTTCCTTGCTGTGAGTTTCGAGAGCACTGAAGATCTCATCCCCATTCGTCTGCCCCTGTCGTCACCCACTCTCATTCATTCCCCGTGTCTTCCCCCTCTCTGCCTTGACGCCAGCGACAGGAGTGGATGGCGGAGGTGGGGCAGCAGGGACAGACGGCTAGGGTGGTGAACCTGTTTTTGAGTCGACTCAAAAACGGACGGCGAGGGTGGTAAACCAGCGGGTGTACTACGACGTGTGTGCTGGGCCAGGGGCAGGCTGACGATGCACTGTGCTGGGAGAGCAAGACCCATCTCTTTTGTCTTCCCCCCCTCTGCCTTGTTCCCAATGGCAGGAGTGGATGCGGAGGGTGGGGCAGCAGGGACGGTGAGGGTGGTGAACCAGCGGGTGTACTACCACGTGCTGGGGCGGGCGCAAGCTGATGATGTACTGTGCTGGGAGAGCAAGGCGCATCCCACGTGGATGTTTGGCTCACAAGTCAGCAGCGACGGTAAGGCATGTGCTATTCTTCTCCCCTTTGTTACTCCCCCCCTCAATTTCCCTCTCACTCTCGTTCTCTCTCACTCTCGTTCTCTCTCCCTCTCGTTCTTTCCCTCTCGCTTTCGTGCCCTTTGAGCCCTCAGCTCCTGTGATGTGATGATAGCTAAACTCAGGCCTCGTTCTGCCTACAGCTACTTAATTGCTACTCGTTTGGCGATTCTATTGTACTCGTAGTGGTGTGGGCACGTGATTGTTGCTTGCTCTGTTCAAGTTCGACCCCTTCACCTCTCTTTCTTCAACTGATCTGCTCCCGTGCACAGCTCCGCTCCTCCTGCATATTCTCCTCTCCCTCCCCTCTTGCCTTTCCCTCTACCCCTCCCATTCCCCACCTGCAGTACCTCATTATAAGCACATGGGCCAACTGCGACCACGCCAACCTTGTCCACGTCATCAACCTCCACCAGCTGCCACCTGGACGGCTTGATGGTGCTTCAGTGCACACCGTGTCTGCACCTGCTGGGAACGATAAGAAGGATGCGAGCAATGAGAATGATGAGACTGTGGTTTTTAAAAGAGATGATGAGGATGGTGGGAATGGTGGGGATGGTGGTCCTGTGCGCCTGCCTGCCATCACCCTCAGAAGCCGCTTTGACGGCATGTTCAGCTATGTGACCAATGACGGCTCTGCGTTCACCTTCCACACCAATAAGGATGCCCCACGTGGCAAGGTGGTGCGGATTATTCTGCCAGAGGATACTGGGTTGGGGGGTGGACACGAGGAGGGGGAGGATGGATTGGGGGGTGCAGAGGGCAGGCAGAAGGGGAAGGGGGAGGAGGAGGGAGAGGAAGAGGATGATGGGAGGGAAGAGGATGATGGGAGGTGGGAGGAGGTGGTGGGGGAGGCGGAGGGGGATGTGTTGGAGTGGATGCGCTGTGTGAACCAGGACATGTTGCTGTGCTGCTACATGCGAGACATATAGAACGTACTAGAGGTATGCAGTCGTGCGCTGGGACAGTCTCTGATGCGTCTAGACTAGAAGAATATTAACCACGAAGATTCTTTATGTTGTAAGCTGCTGCTGTTCTGCGCTACATGCGCCATGTGTTGAACGTGCCCCAGCTATGCAGGCATGCCTCTGCGCATCTCTCCATTCGTTCCATTCTCTGCAGGCAAACCCTAATCCGTTCCCTCACCGACAGCTTCTCCTCTCCTGTGCTGCTTCCCATGAGTGCAATTGCAATCTCCTCCTGAAAACTGCGTTTCTGGCCTCATTCTCTCCCCATTTCAGATCCGCTCCCTCACTGATGTCTCGCTGCTCTCCACCGTGCCTCTCCCTATGGGCGTTGTCTCCTCCTCCTCGGGTCGTCGCTGTGACAGCGAGGTCCTCTAAGCCAGTCCCACCCCCTTCTCTCTCCTCCCTTACAGATCCGCTCACTCGTTGACGGCTCGCTCCTCTCCACCGTGCCTCTCCGCATGGGCGCCGTCTCCTCCTCCTCCGGCCGTCGCAGCGACAGCGAGGCTTTCTTCTCCTTTGAGAGCTTCCTCTCTCCGCGCACTGTGTACCGCTGCGACCTCACAACCCCTCAACCTGAGCCGGAGGTGCGAGCTTGCCTTGGTGATGTGCGATGCATGGAAATGTCTTTGGCCTCACATACTTCTTTATTTTGAGAGCTTCCTCAACCCCCGCACTGTGTTCCGCTGCGACCTCACAACCCCTCAACCTGACCCGGAGGTGCGTTCCTGTCTTGATGCACTGGTAATGCTTTCTTTCTCCTTTGAGAACTTCCACCCCCCCATGTGTGTGCATGTGCGTTGACTCCTGTTTCTTGTGCCCATATGCTTTACATCCAGCTAACCGTTTCCTCGATGATTTCGTGCCTGATTCGTGTATGCTTCATGTGCCTCTGCCGTCACCTCCCCAGGTGTATCGCCAGCTGACTGTCCCCGGCTTCGACCCCTCACTGTTTGAGGCGCAGCAGAAAGTGTTTGTGCCCAGCACCGGACGCCAAGCACTGATGGCACCACGTGTGTGTACTTTCATTACATTTATGCTTCATGCGCCTCTGCTGTCACCTCCCCAGGTGTATCGCCAGCTGACTGTCCCCGGCTTCGACCCCTCACTGTTCGAGACACAGCAAGTGTTTGTTCCCAGCACCGATGGCACCAGGTGTGCTCGGTGTGGCTGGCAGATAGTGGAAGGTGGTATGGAATGGATGCATTACCAGGTGGTATGGAATGGATGCATTACCAGGTGGTATGGAATGGATACATTACCAGGTGGTATGGAATGGATGCATTACCAGGTGGTATGGAATGGATGCATTACCAGGTGGTATGGAATGGATGCATTACCAAGTGGTATGGAATGGATGCATTATCAGGTGGGATGACTGTTTTACTCGAGACTCGGGTTGCTGCTGTACTCATATGTTCACGCAGCACGTCTTTGTGCCCAGCACCGATGGCACCAGGTACGCCCATGTGAATGCCAGGTCACATAGGCGGCTTCAACATCTGCATGAAGCTGTTCTTCAGTGTGTCTCCCATGCACCTGCCGCCCCCTGCTTGCCCACAGGATCCCCATGTTTGTGTGGTGTCCTGTATAGGCCTCCTTCGCACATCCAACCACTTCACTCTTCTCTATGGGTACGGAGGCTTTAACATCTGCGTCAAGCCGCCCTTCAGCGCGTCCCGTGTGTAACTCCCTGCCGCTCCCTCTCTTCCCCACAGGATCCCCATGTTTGTGGTGTGCCGTAAAGACATGCCCCGCACATCGGACCACTTCACTCTCCTCTACGGGTACGGCGGTTTCAGCATCTGCATCAAGCCGTCCTGCATCTCTCCCATGCTTCCGCTGCCGCCCCCTCTTTTCCCACAGGATCCCCATGTTTGTGGTGTGCCGTAAAGACCTGCCCCGCACGGCCGACCACTTCACGCTCCTCTATGGCTACGGAGGCTTCAACATCTGCATCAAGCCATCCTTCAGCGTGTCCCGAGTGCTGCTGATGCGGCACTACGGTGCAGTGGTGGCAGTGGCAAATATTCGGGGTGGGGCCGAGTATGGGGAGAGGTGGCACAAGGGAGGAGCATTGGGCAACAAGCAGCAGTGCTTTGATGACTTCTATGTGAGTGGGGAGTAATAAGCCAGTCAACTCTAGAACCAACGAGCAGCAGTGTATTGAAGGACTGCTTCGTGATAGAAGAGGGGCCTTGAGATGTCACACGTGATTTTTGAGGCACCTCAAAGATTGAGATGGCACACGTGATAAGAAGAACCCAACTTTCATCATGTGGACTTTTTTGAGGATGAAACTTTTTGCGAGTGGGGCTCTTTTGTGAATAAGACCTCTCTGTGAATGAAACTTCATTGCACGCTGCTTCATTCTCTGCTGAGATATGGCGGGGCGAGCTCAAGGCATTTCAGATTCACCATTCTGCACCATGTTCCCTTGTGACCTACTTCGACGATGCCAACAAATTTAGTGCCCCGTCCTTCCTCCCTGAACCACTAATCTGCAGATTGTTTCTGCATATTGTTTTTGAGAATTCTAAAAAACAATCTACGTTTTTTTTAGAATTCTCATAAACAATCTACAGCACCTCGACATATTTAGTGCCCGTCCCTTCTTCCTGAACTGCCAAATCTGCACAGGGCGTGTGGCAGGCAACTCCATCTCTTACTGTGAGGTACCTCAAAGTGTGACGCAAGTCTAAGTGTGAGGCAACTCTAAGTGTGAGGCTACTCTAAGTGGCGAATCTAAGTGTGGGACAACTCTAAGTGTGAGGCGACTCTAAGTGTGAGGCAATTCTAAGAGTGAGGCGACTCTAAGTGTGAGGCAAATCTAGTTGTGAGGCAAATCTAAGTGTGAGGCAACTCTAAGTGTGAGGCAACTCTAAGTGTGAGGCAAAACTAAGTGTGAGGCAAAACTAAGTGTGAGGCAACTCTAAGTGGAGGCAAATCAAGTGTGAGGCAAATCTGTGTGGGAGGCAACTCTGAGTGTGAGGCAACTCTGAGTGTGAGGCAACTCTAAGTGTGTGAGGCAACTCTGATTGTGAGGCACCTCTCAAACTCGCCCCATTCCTTTTTCCCTGATCCACCAGAGCTGTGCGGAGCATCTGATCAGCGAGGGCTACACATCGCCATCGAAGCTGGTGATAGAGGGTGGCAGCAATGGGGGGCTTCTCGTCAGCGCTGCTGTCAACCAGGTGTGCATGCTTGTCATGCTTGTCATGCTTGTCATGCGTGTAATGCTTCCAAGGTGATGGCACGGGTTGGCAATGACTAGGGGGTGCACAACGCCATCGAAGCTGGTGATAGAGGGTGGCAGAAACTGGGGGCTGCTGGTCAGTGCTGCCGTCAACCAGGTGTGCAATGCATGCTTGTAATGAGCACAATGAGCACGTATGTGGAACAGGTGATGGCACGGGTCGGCAATGACTAGGGTCTGCAAACCCTGTTGAAGCTGGTGGCAGCAATGAGGCGGCTGCTCGTCAGTGCTGCCGTCAACCAAGTGGGTGTGGTTGTAACGAGGGCGTATGAGTTTGAGAGTATGTGCATGTGGCAAACATACCATCCAAGGTCGACGCGGCTTTACTCGACGAGGTGATGGCACATGCGGAAGTGGACACCAGTTAGGTGCCATTGCAATAATACGTGGCAGCAACTTAGGTTCAACACCTGGTGAAATTTCAGCAGTACTTTGTAAAAAACGTTTGTGTAAAAATCACGGTGGTAACCGGTTTCGGCTATAGTGCCTTCTTCAGACCACAAACTATTCTACTGAACGCGTACTGCTTATATGCCTAGTGAATGTCAATCCTAGACTCAGACCCGCGCGGGAAATCTTCGCTGCGGCGAGTTCGGAGACAAAAGGCAAAAAGCGAGATGAGAGCAAAAGTGTAACAGCAAAAACTACTGTAGTCTAACACTTTCAAATAACTGCCAACTCTCTTAGGTAGCCTCCATGCGATTATAGCTCTCCTTGATGAAAAAATGTCGTGTGCCATTGTAACGAGGTGACTTTTGAGTCGACTCAAAAGTCACCAAGGGCGACGCGGCTTTACTCGACGAGGTGATGGCACATGTCAGCACACTCCATCACTAGGGGCTGCATATCGCCATCGGAGCTGGTGATAGAGGGTGGCAGCAACGGGGGGCTGCTCGTGAGTGCTGCCGTCAACCAGGTATGCATGCTTGTAATGGGCGTGCATGTGCTTCAAACAGTGAATGCGTATGTGCCCACACAAGGTGATGATACACGGCGGCACTATAACGAGGGATACACATTGCCGACGAAGCTGGTGATTGAGGGTGACAGCAACGGGGGGTTGCTCGTGAGTGCTGCCGTCAACCAGGTAGGTGTGCCGATGACCGTGGGCTGCGTATGAGCAATGATTGTGTATGTGTATGCTGGTATGTGTGTGTGTGTATGTATGCTGGTATGTGTGTGTGTGTATGTATGCTGGTATTGTGTGTGTGTATGTATGCTGGTATGTGAGTGTATGCTGGTATGTGTGTGTATGTGGATATGTGTGTGTGCCTGCTCTCCCTTCTCCATTCTGTTTTCTCCTTCTCCCATGTTCCTCGCATCAGCGCCCACACCTGTTCGCATGCGCCTTGGCACGCATGGGGCTGACAGACAGACATGCTGACTTTTGAGTCGACTCAAAAGTCACCTCAACATGCTGCAATTCCACCACTTCACCAGATCGACGTGCGTGAACCTCTATCTGTCAACATTTCCCTTCCACTCTCCCGTGCTCCACCCATCAGCGCCCAGACCTGTTCACCTGTTTGCCTTTGCACGCGTGGGGCTGACAGACAGACATGCTGCGATTCCATAAGTTCACCATCGGCCACGTTTGAACATCCATGTATGGCTGCTCCAGCAACACCTTTGTGTCTTCCCGTCCCTTCCCCATTCTCTCTGCCTCCAGCGTCCACACCTCTTCGCATGCGCCTTAGCGCATGTGGCACTGACAGACATGCTGCGATTTCACGAGTTCACCATCGGCCATGCATGGACCTCCGAGTACGGCTGCTCCAGCGACCCCCACCAGCTCAAATGGCTTCTCAGGTGCGCCGCATCGCATCGCATCGCATCACCACTTCATCCCCTGTGTCTCAGCAAGTCGCCTTCCACCACTTCACCATCGGCCATGCGTGGACCTCCGAGTATGGCTGCTCCAGCGACCCACACCAGTTCAAATGGCTCCTCAGGTATGCCTTCCTTTCGCATCCATTCAGCATCACATATTGTTTCTCAGTAAGTCGCCTTCCTTCCACCGCGTCACCATCGGCCGTGCATGGACCTCTGATGATGGTTGCTCCAATGACATTCGTGCCTCATCTCAACTGGCTCGTCAGGTATGCCTCTGCATCGCATAGCATTGCATCGCTTACCATTCGTACCTCTGTAACCGAATCCATTCCACCCATTCACCACCGGCCATGCGTGGACCTCCGAGTATGGCTTCCCTTTTTGCATCGTTTGCCAATCATGCAAGGCAGGCCTTGACATACCACTACTAGGCCTTTCATACATCTCAGACGGCCATGTACTCATTTATAACCAACCTCTGAATTCTCAAAAGCTCTGCTGCACAGAGATTCCAGAGAGCTCAGAATTCCACGAGTGCTCTGCTGCGTGGTTATATAACATCGCTCAGTTCTCCAGGGCACACCTGAGAAAAGGCAGGTGGCGAGCCTGTAAGCATGCATTGCCAGACTTGTCATGAGTTCTCTTTCCCTCTTCTCCCCCCTTTCGCTCCATCTGATTAATCTTCTAGCTGGCTGCCGCGGTTGGCCTTCCCAATCCCAACCTGCACACCTCCCTTGCAGCTACTCCCCTTTGCACAACGTGAGGCGACCCTGGGAAGCTGGCAGCCCCGCCAGCAGCAACAACAGCCCAGGTACACACTCAGATTCCGCTGGTGTGCCAGCAACAGCCGACTTGGCAGCAGAAGCTGACGTGGCAGCAGCAAAGAGGCAGTGGGGAGAGCGCAGGAGGCAGTATCCGGCGGTGATGCTGCTGACGGGTGACCATGACGACCGCGTGCCGCCCTTCCACTCCCTCAAGTTCGCCGCCCAACTTCAGCACTTGCTGGTGCACAGGTGGGTGGTGGGGTGGGTGTGTGGGTGGATGGGTTGGTGTGTGGGTGGGTAGGTGCCGTCCTCTCACTCCCTCAAGTTAGCCGCCCAACTTCAGCACGTGTTGGTGCAGAGGTGGGTGCTGGTGCGCAGGTTTGTTGGTGGTTGGATGGGTGCATGGCTCGCAGTACCCGGCGCGTCGGTGATGCTGCTGACGGGCGACCATGACGACCGCTTGCCAGCTGTTCTGGTGCACAAGTGGGTGGCTTGCAGCATGTGCTGATGCATGGGTGAACACGCACGAACTGCAGCATGCGCTGTGCTGATGCATGGGTGAACTGAGCACGCATGCACCGCAGCTATGCCTGGCTTTTCCCCACTTGCCTCTCCCTTGAGTTCGTGAATCACCTCCAATGCACCTTCCATCTCCTGTGCACACCTCCTTGCCTCTCCAACCCTGCAGCGCAAATGGTGAAGAAAATCAGATAAACCCGATTGTGTTGAGAGTAGATGTGAAGGCAGGACATGGATTGGGTGCTTCGACACAGAAGATAATTGAGCGTAACGCGGATGCATATTCTTTTGCGGCCAGTGTTACCCACACACTGTGGGTTGACTAGCAGGTCGAACATTTTGTTTTGTTACTATTTAAATTGTTACGTCAAATGTAAACCACAACATACCCTACTCACGTAGGAGCGCTGTTCCTGCCACCACGACCCTAGCGCCCGAACCGAACCACCCGGCTCTGCTGGTAACCCGCAACCCGGCCCTACGCCTCCACATTTCCCAACCAGGCCTTCAGATTCGTTTTGGGCGACCCTTAGTAATCAGGGTTCTAGGTATAGTCAACCCTGATGCTTAGGGTGATGTTTTTGTTTCCCTGACAAATGCAGGGTAAAAAAAAAGTAACACTGTTTGGCTAGGGTATTTTCAAATATTACGTATATGTTCACAATAAAAGCAGTCCAGTTTCGTAGTTGTTGGTTCAGTTGGTTGGATTCTAAGCTAGATCCGAAAGGAGTATTTTGCTGTAGTGTTTCGCTCGCTACGGACTATTCGGTACCAGTGTAACTGGGTTCACTGTACAGTCAGAGAAATATCATTCTTACGCTGTTATTCAAAGGGTATTATAAAACCTACACTTTCTGGCCCAGGGTAAAAATCCACTACCCTGCCTGCGAAAGGGTAACTGGAAAAAGCGGCCGCCAGTCAGTGCAAAAAGGGTATTTTACCCTGATAACGAGAGGCCTGTTCCCAACCTCGTTGCTAGGCCTGTAGGGCAACCTTTTCGTGAGCGCGTTACCATTAACGAATGCTCTCACATTTTGACGATCCGATCATGTCTTCGCTCGGTGTATTTGTTCGCTTTGATAGTGCATTTTTTGCTCGATCAAAAGTACGGTTTATCTGTTCACGTCGTAAGCTCTCATGAACTATGAGAAGAAGTATGCCCAAGGCTAGATCATAATATTGTTAACGGGATTCCACGTGACGCGGATATGGTTGCAGATTACGTGTGTGATGTACGATCACATCAGGGAAGTATCGTATTGCTGTTGGTCGTACACCCCATCCCGTACCACGCTGATTGCGTTCTTCCAGAACAGCCGCCGGAGCCGCGACAGCCACCTGTTCCATAGATACCCGAGTTCGGCGAATGATGGCAAGCCACGCAATTAGCACCAGTGCACTGATTGGGCACGCGCCACCTCCCCCAAAGGAGAAAACACTAAGTCTCGAACCGCGGCAATCACTATGTACGTCATTGGGAGCGACGAGAAAAGTGGGACGCGGTACGAGGGGAACAGAACAGAGCTGATGTTCTCCCGGCGGAACACTGTACGACCCAACGAAGGGGGGATTCGGGAAAGGGGAAGGGGGAAGGCGCGAAGAGAACACAGCGGCTTGCGGGCGGGCGACGACGACGACTCGTCGGATGGACGAGACGAGACGGTTGGGATTTTCTCAACGGAAAACTATACAGTGAAGTACTAGAATCTGTCACCGCACCACCAGACGCAACGCCAGTCTTGGTACGTTACAGTACCCTAAAACCGTCGCTCCTACTGAACTGTACACTACCCTCGATTCTCACCGGAGGTTCGTCGAGCGCACGGTTTGTCTCGGTCGCTCTTCCGCCTGTCTATCCCGTTATCCGCACGACACTTCTACGATCGACACAACTCTTATAAGGGCTGCGGTGACAGCACGATGAGGGTCGTGACGTGGCATGATGAATGCCGATACGACGAGCGTGGAGAGGGAAGCGGAGATGGGATAATGGGATGGGATGAGATGGGATGGGATGGGCTGGCGGGGCACGAACGAACGCACTCAGCCCTACAAAGTAGGACTCTAACGAGAGTCCAGGAAACGAGAGTTCAAATAAGCTCGCGACTCACTCTCGTTCTCGGCAATCTCGAGAGGCAGGAGCGGGAGAGCCACGAGCTCTAATCATCGCTAGGGATTGTCCCGACTCCCGAGACTGTCACTGTCGCCGCCACTCTCGTCTCCACCACCCATCACGCCATCTCCCTCTCCCGTCGCCCTCGTTCCTCACCACCGTCGCCACCACCGTCGCCAACCGTCGCCACCACCGTCGCTACCGTCGCCACCACCGTCGCTACCGTCGCCGACCGTCGCCAGCATGGGGTCGCACACGCTCAACGTGCCGGTGCGCGTCTTCTCGTGGACGGCGCGTCTCATGGAGCTCGTCTTTCTCGCGTTGCTCATCACCTTCTGCGTGTACCTCTCAAAGGACAAGACAGATCCCTCGCTCTCCGTGTATGGCGGGATGTCCGCGTGCTTCAATTGCGACAACGGGTGGAACTGGCACGTGCTGCTCATGGGTATTGCCTTCGGCATCGCCATGACAGAATCCGTTCTCGCCTTCTGCTCCTCCTCTCTCAGGTACTGTATTTTCCCCCCAACATCCACTTGTGATCCTCCTCTCTCAGGTACTGTATTTTCCCCCCAACATCCACTTGTGCTCCTCCTCTCTCAGGTACTGTATCTTCCCCCCAACATCCACTTGTGCTCCTCCTCTCTCGGTAGTTCAACGGCTAGAACTGGCACGTGCTGCTCATGGGCATTGCCATGACCGAATCCGTCCTCGCCTTCTGCTCCTCCTCTCTCAGGTATTTTACCCTCACCGTTCCACCTCTTTTCAATGAGAGTCACTCGCCGCCAGTTCTTTTTGTTCCCTCATCAGCACTGCTGCTCGGGAGACTGCTTGTTGATGGCCGGCCCAACAGACTCGAAATGGGTGCACCTGGCGTGGCACTCTCGATCGCGCTCGTCCTGACCTGATGACTTTTGAGGCGTCTCAAAACCCGTGTGACTGTGACCGTTATGTTTTTTGTCGTCTTCCCGTCACTAGTAGGGCGGGCTGGCACGCCAAGTGGGTGCACCTGGCGTGAGCCTTAAATTCGATAAAAATTCAACCCGTGTGACAGTATCGCTTATTTTTTTTTTTTTTTTTTTTTTTGTCGTCTCCCCGTCACTGCAGGGCGAATGCCAAGTGGGTGCAGCTGGCGTGGCAGGCGATTGCGCTCATCCTAGCGACTTTTTTAGGCGTTTCAAAACCCGTGTGTCTGTGATGTATCACGTCACTGCAGGGCGAACGGGTACGCCAAGTGGGTGCATCTGGCGTGACTCTTGAACCCACTCAAAGCTAACCCGTGTGACCCTGGCTGTGACTGTAACGCATTCTCTCGTCTCCACGTCACTGCAGGGCGAACGGGTACGCCAAGTGGGTGCACCTGGCGTGGCAGCTGATCGCGCTCATCCTGGCAGCAGCGGGGTTGGCGTCAATCATCGTGGCCAAGAACTATTCATCCAGCAAGCACATGTACTCCGTTCACGCCTACTGCGGCGTGCTCACCCTCGCGCTCTTCACCCTGCAGGTCAGTTAGTGGGCTTCCTGTTTGAGAAGCACCTCATGAATCCCCTCAGTGCACACCGGCAGCAGCAGCACTGGCGTCTATCATCGTGGCCAAGAAGAACTCGTCTGCCAGCCAGCAAGCACATGTACTCTACTCAGTGCACGCCTAGTGTGGCGTGCTCACTCTGGCAGTCTTTGCGCTGCAGGTGAGGGCACCTAAAGCGCCTGCCTTAAGCAACAGCATGGCCTGTTGATAACGTCCGGTGAGGCACCGAAAGCACCTCGAATGCTCTCCGAGCGCGCCCATCGCGGCGTGCTGACTCGCGTGCTCTTCGCCCTGCAGGCGTGCTGCTAACATGCGCCAATATTTCTGCATCCCATATTGTGCCGGGATGTTGCTATTTGCTCACTGGCACCGTGGCTTGTCGATTAGGTCTGATCTTTTTTTATCTGATCTGATCTGATCTGGTTCGATTGGATCCAATGTTATAATGAGCTACCCCGGTTTGAGCATCGGTGATATGTTTTCCACTTTTTCTTCAGGCGTATAAGCTTACCTCGCCACGTTTGTTGTGGCATGGTCGACTCAAAAGTCAACTCATCCAAGGCACCAAGCTTATTGCACCATACTGTACACCCTTCTGTGCGCCCTGCTGCCTTCCTCCCCGCCATACAGTTCTTCTGGGGCCTGTGCGCGTTCGTGCTCTTCAAGAGCCGCCTGTCCGACTCAACGCGGTACCAGATGGGTACCTACCACATCCTGCTGGGCAAGCTCACCTACTATGCTGGCATCGGCACCTGCGTGGTGAGTGTTACAACAGTTACCCGCACTGCACTGTGTGTAAGCCGATGCGACGCGGTACCAGATGGGCACCTACCACATCCTGCTTGGGAAGCTCACCTACTATGCCGGCATCGGCACGTGCGTGGTGAGTTCACCTTCCTGCCTCGTTTGTGCCAGTGCTCCAACGGTCTCCATCAACATGCCGCTGCTGCAGCTGTTGCTGCTGTCCAGAGTTCATTCATAGCAGAAATCAGTCCCCCATCTTTCTCATGTAATGCATGAACGCGTTTTTTGCTCCTCAACCAGGCTCTCAAATCTATGTTGGAATATACGCTCAGACCCTAAAGCGTTTAGCGTATGTACGCTTGCGTTCAAACGCAAAACGCTATACGCTAGCTAATACGCTATACGCTTCCAGAATTTTTTAGGGGCTGCCCGGGAAAAAAAAAGTGAGTGTACGGAAAGATGCGGAATTTCCTGGTGAGCATTTCGCCATAGTCGAGATGCAATTCGGGGGTCTAGGGAAGCGGGAATGTCCCTTACAATCGCGTTTGGCAGTTCAGATCTACAATTTGGATTAGTACCGCATTGAAACCCATCCCATCTACGAACTCCAACATGTCAAAAATGTCCCCCCAACAAACCCCACTCGACATTTCCACTAGTTTGCTTTCCCGCTTCCCAACAGAGCTCATCCCGATTAGTGTCTACTACGCATCCCACCCTAATCGCAGTTCAGACTTCGAAATACCTTAGTGGGAAATTCTTAGTGGGAATATAGAATACCTTCCCGATGTTGAGCACGGCATTTTTTAACCCTGCCCGGGAAAGTTTTTCCCCTGCCCGAAATAGCGTATGTCCAAACCAGCCCCTTAGCGGATAGCGTATATACGGTAGCGTATATACGACACGCGTATATACGCTAAACGCGTATAATCCATCATAGTCTCAAATTCCCCATGCTCTGCTGCCTTTCTTGTTCCTGCCCGTGACGTGATGTGCAGAACGGGTTGGCGGACATACAGATGATGATGGTGCATTCTGAGCAGCCCAACTACGACGGTGTTTTGAGCCAACTCAAACATTCCCTCCCTTGTTGCCACTGCTCTTGATATGCAGACATGCAGATGATGATGGTGGATTCAGGGCAGCCCAACTACGACGGTGTTTTGAGTCGACTCAAACATTCTCTCCCTTGTTGCCACTTTTGAGTCAACTCAAACATTCTCTCCCTTGTTGCCGTGCTCTTGATGTGCAGAACGGGTTGGCGGACATGCAGATGATGATGGTGGATTCAGGGCAGCCGGCGTACGACGGTGCGAGCATGTCACAGAGCTGGGCTGCCATCTTCCTCTGGTTCACCTCGGCTGCTGTGTTTTGCGCCATGACAACTTCTAGGACCGCCGAGGTTGTCTCTGACGAGGACGATGCAAAGAAAGTTGCGGTGTAGTTTGGGTTGCATTATGCATACAACGGTGCAATAATGTATTGTGATAAGAGTGCGAGATATGGCAATGATAGCGGAAATTCATGAGATTTCATGTGGCCAGGTGGATATTACGAAGTACTGTAAATGGCAGGCCCAAGAAACAAACCCGCAAGCCAACAAATAGCCTACACCGTGCATTGCATTGTCACATGATGTTCTTACTATGCATGCATTACGAATATGTAGTTCCGTCTGATAGAGTGCTGTACAGCATCACCCTTTTTTAATTTCTCGCCGTGAATCACGGACTTGCTTTGCGGGCCATGCAATTGTGAAATTCCAACCAACAATTCGCGACTCGCAATTATCCGTCGCAAGGAATCCATCGTTCTCGCGATTATTTGAAATCGGTGCGCCCACCACGATGACTGACGAGAGACTTGCTCGCGCAGCCGATATCCTCCCCATCGCAGATCATTCTCATTCCTCCTGCTCTCCTCATCCGGATCCTCTTCGCACGCGTTCAACCAACGGGAGAGCTGGGCAAGTCTCGATCGCGACTGAAAGGCCTCCTAACGTTTTTTAGAAATCAGCTCAAATGTCAGAATAAACGATCGCATACTACTTCCACCATATCCGTGCTTCAACGTGACGGTTCAAATCTTGAATCGCCTCAAAGGTTGCTTCACCGCGAGGGTTTTCCTGGAGATTTGGTGCGAAAGCTGCCCTCTCTCTGCACTCGAAGGCTAGCACTCACTTTAGCGCTCCATAATTGCTGCCAATCCGGCACTAGCCCTAAGATCGACTATTAGTCTTCTTCGCATCGTCAAACGCGGCGTGGATTCGCCAATGGCTGAATTCCACGAGCAGCTCGTTCTCTTTATTGGTGCGTAATATCAATGTTCTTGATCGGACTGACCGTTAAGTTGACTTTTGAGTCGACTCAAAAATTGATGGCTGAATTTCACGAGCAGCTCGTTCTCTTTATTGGTGCGTAATATCAATGTTCTTGATCGGACTCACCGTTAAGTTGACTTTTGAGTCGACTCAGAAATCGATGGCTGAATTTCATGAGCAGCTCGTTCTCTTTCTTGGTGCGTAATATTAATGCTTTTGATCGGACTGACCGTTGAGTCGACTCGACCCAAAAGCCTTCTGCCAAGCGTAATACCAGTGTGGTGATCGGGTTGACTTTTGCGTCTGAAAAGAGCTGACTCATCGACGCAACAGTCCTCCTCCTCGGTGGATAGTAGTGTTGGTGATCGGAGCAACTAACCAGTGTTCTTTATGATGTGGGAAGGAAAAAGCAGTGATAGAACGGGTTGATTCCTCCAATGTAACGCGCCAGAACCTTCGACATTTTAGGTTTTTCTCAGGAGGCGGGCAGGAATGGAATTTTGCCGTCGCGAAATACGCTTTTGGGACACACGCTCCTGAAACGACCAATTGGGGACAGCCTTTGTGATGACCCAAAACAGCCAGGAGAAAGTAGTGGGAGTCTACGGAGTGCGGGTGAGAAACACTGTCTAAAATCAACCCCCGCATTCACACCCCCTTCCCCCTTCCCCTCAACCCCTCGCTGCCCCATTCTTCCCGGCTACTCTAATAAAATGCAGTGGTCGCTGCGCTGTTGGTGCTCGCGCTGAAGGGACACAGCCAAGACCAAGGTGAGCTGCCTTCCTCGCGTCTCACATTCGACGCAAATCCCAGCAGGCTGCTGTTGCCGCGTCACTCCCATCTCACTCTCACAGTCGAAACTCAATTGCTTACGGCTGTTAATGCTCGCGCTGGCGGGGCACAGCCAAGACCAAGGTGAGCTGCCTTTCTCACGACTCTCCGTCGACGCAAAAAGCAACCGCTTCAGGCTCGCTCACATCTCATGTGAATATATCACTCGTCATACTCCGACCATTTCCATCTCTTTCAGCTCCTAACTGCGTCCCCTGTTGGCTTCCATTCACAACTGTTAGTTTCGGCCAGATTGTGATGCTGTTGCGTGCTCCCTCCTCCACCCCTCCCACCTGTCGCTTGCAGGCCAAGCGATCAAGCTAGCACACCTCATGCAACCCGACCCACCTACCACACCAGCACCTCTCGCCTTGGCCAGTGCGACAGCAAAGCCAAACCGCACGCTCGTTCCTCCCCCGACCGCTGCGACCGAGGCGATATCAACTCTCCCCGCAGGGGCGCTGTCAGATAGCGCCGTCCCCAGGCAGTACCTCCCCGAGGCAGCGGTGGGCGGCAGTGGCAGCGCGTCGGTGCAGGCGATTTACGCGAAGCTGACGGGGCGGCAGGTGGTGCCGGCGCGCGGGGATCCCAAGGCTTACGGCTTCCTGAACGCCACCATTCACAGGTGCGGTGCGGTACAATGTGGTACAGTGCATTGCGCTGAGATCCGTGGCGTCGAACTGCGTGCTGCTACTAGCACCAGCAGTTCCGCCATTTTCGAAGAAAAAGACGAGTGAAAGGAAACCCTTGGCCGTCAGTACTTTAGCCGCCTAGAAAAAAATAATTAAATAAATAAAAACCGTGCGTGTGTTGCCTTTCTGCACAACTCTAACGTAATCAAACCACCCCTCCTGAACTCGGCAGACACTCCAACGGGCTGTTTCGGTTGGAATAGGTGGTCAGCATGGGCGAGGGAATGGGGAGAAAGTTGTTTCTTCTCTGTCGAGTGAATAACCAAGCACCCTTCCCAAATTCCTCTCCCAAGGACCCCTCCCAAGCACCCCAAACGCTCCTCACAAACTTGGCAGACATTCCAGCGGGCTGTTTCAGTTGGAATACAAGGTGATCATCATCGGGCTGTCGCGCGAGGGAATGCGGGAGAAGCTGTTTCTTCGCTGTCGAGTGAATAGCCAAGCACCCCTCCCAAACGCCCCTCCCAAACTCGGCAGACATTCCAGCGGAACGCTCTGGTTGGAATACAAGGTGATCATCATCGGGCTGTCGCGCGACGCGCCGCCGCGGAAGATGAGCGCGCACCGCGGGAGGAAGGGCGAGGCGGGCGCGCACCATGATCGCCTCCTGGACCTGCCGTGCGGCACCACGGCGCGCCGCGCCGGTCACCACGCCGCGGACAGCGCTTCCCTCACGGTGACCTGCGCGGGCGCGGTGGGGGGAAGCGCGGAGGAGCTGCGCGCCGACGCGGGGAGGGGCGCGGGGGAGCACGAGGCGGGGATGGGTGAACGTTACGCTGGTAACGGTACTGGTACTGGGAGTAGTAGTGAAGCTAGTACTAGCTACTTCGTGTCGAGTGAGCGAGACCAGCAGTCGCTTAGGGATGCGGTGCGGGTGATTCTGCAAGAGCCGGAGAGTTACTACGTGACGGTCAGTACCACGCGGTACGCCGGCGGCGCCATTCGCGGGCAGCTTGGGAGGGTGTTCGGGCGGGAAGAGTAGATACGAGGCAATGGTTTTCGTCACGGGTGGTTGGTTGAAGACGGCACGTAAAATAAGAGTGATGGAGGAATGCGGTTGTCAAACATGCATGGGTCGGGTGCGGTTAGGTTGTTTCGCGAAGGTTGATGAGAAATGAGGGCTTTGAGGGGAGTACGGGTTTTGCGGGGAGGTTTTTGGCTGGGACAGTTTCGGGGATGCGATAAAGCAAGGTTCATAAGCCAAAACACTTGTAAATGAATGAATAGTAAATTTGCTATTTTGAAGCTTGGTTATAGTGAAAAAGGTACTCAAAACAATTTCAGCGATGGACTTAGTTAAACATCATACATAATAAGCTACCTATTGGGAACAATAGTGGTGGTGGTGAACCCAGCAGGAGTGACTGTAGTGGTGGTGATTGTAGCCGACGGCATTTGAGCAGCAGCAGCTGCCGCCGCAGACGCATTGGCAACAGCAGCAGCACCAACATCAGCCGCCGCTCCAGCTCCCCCAAACCCCAGAGCAGCATGAGGGTTGAGAGGATTGGTGCTATTGGCCGCAGCAGCAGGGGTGGTGAGTGTGCTGGGAGGGGCGGCAGTGGAGGAGAGGAGTTGTGACAGCAGTGCAGCAAAGGACGACGGCTGCCCAGTGGGACCCGGCGGTGGCCCTGCCCCGCCACCTCCTCTTCCTGCCGCCCAACCCATTCCTGCCGCCCCACCAATTCCTGGCCCCAACCCTCTTCCTGCCACCCATCCTCGTCCTGTTGCCCCCATCCTTCCTGCCGCCCCACCTAGTCCTGCCACCCAGCCCCTTCCTGCTGCCCCACCCCTCCCTGCAGCCCATCCTCTTCCCACCGCCCCTCCTCCTCGTCCTGCCGCCCCTACTTTTCCCACCGCCCCTCCTCCTCGTCCTGCCGCCCCTACTTTTCCCACCGCCCCTCCTCCTCGTCCTGCCGCCCCTACTTTTCCCGTTGCCCTTCCTCGTCCTCCACCTCTTAACCCAAAACCCCCTTTCCCCCCTCGTTTAGCAGCCACTGTCGGCCCACCCTGCTCGTCACCTCTACGCCTCTTTCTTCCCCGCCCCCCAGTGCCCCCTCTACCCATCCACCCCCCAGCACCCCTTGTTCCAACCCTCACCCCAGTGCCCCCTGTGTTCACCCGCCCTCCCCTCTGCCTCCCCCCTGCCGGCTTCTCCTCCCAATCCTCCATACTGCCATCCTCGCTATAAGACCCGTCACTGTTGCTGTCGTCATCATCATCTTCCCTATCGGAACTGCTGGACTCTTGACTGTCACTTTCGCTGCTGCCACCACTGCTGCCACTGCCACCACTGCTGCTGCCACTGCTGCTGCCACCACTACCACTGCTGCCACTGAAGCTTGCGTCAATCCTACGCCCAATACTGCCACTGCACTGCATCTCATCCCACTCCTGCTTCACCTGCAACCCGGCCCCCCATCGCACAACCGCTTCCCTCCCTCTCCCTGCTCCTGCCCCTCTCCCACTTCCTGCCAATCTTCCCCCACCTACCCCAGCTCCCCCGAATCCCCCTTTCCCACCACCACCTCCCCCTTCCCCACCACCACCACCCCCCCTACCACCACTACCCCTAGCACTGCTACCCCTACCAGCACCACGCTCCCCTCCCACAGCCACAGCACGCACACCCAAGAGGGTATCCCAAGCGCCTACCATCTGCCGCACCCCCACCACACCAGACCGCATCCACCACTGCCACCCCTCATCCACCTCCCACGCCCCCTCCGCACTCCCCCCACCTCCACTCCCCCCACCTCCACTCCCCCCACCTCCAATCCCCCCACCTCCAATCCCCCCACCACCACTCCCCCCACCTCCACTCCCTCCTCCTGCACCTCCCGACCCTCCCACCACTCCGACCGCCCTTCCTCCTACCTCTCCCGCCACCGCTCCCTCTCCCGCCCCCGCTCCCTCTCCCGCACCTCTCTCCTCCCCTCCTCCCTCGCCACCTCCTCTCTCCCCCCCTTCCGACCCCCCTTCTCGGCGCAATCTCGCAGCCTCCTGCCAGCGTTGATAAAACGCATCAGACATCTTTTGAGCCTTCTCTCCCGCTTCTCGCCGCAATCTCGCATGCTCCTGCCAGCGCTTATAAAAGGCATCAGAGGACAGCATGTCTCTGCGCCGCCGGGCCAGTCTTAGCTCCGCCTCGCTCCCCCCAGTCATCCCGCCAATCATGCTCCCCAAACCGTCTATTACCCCAACAGCAGCGCCTAGGAACCCACCAGTATCACCAGCAGCACCACCAGCTGCACCAACAGCGCCAGCGGCGGCAGCAGGAGAGGCAGCAGAGAGGCGAGACCAGGAGGAGAGCAGGGACGGGTGCGCTTCTGCCAGAGACCCCACACGCACGTCTGCCAGCTCTGATAGGATCCCCTCTGCTGTCGTCACAGGCGCGGGCACGAGTGCTGCTGCTGCTGCTCCACCCCACCTCGTGCCTGCACCACCAGGAGCAAGAGAAGGAGGCACCACCCGCGCCCCAGGCAGGTTTGAGAGGGAATGAAGATGCTGGGAGCGAGAGAATCTCGCCCCCGCACCCCGCCCTGCCTGCTCGTCCCCACTAGAGGCCCCCGAGTCAGGGAGGGGGAAGTGGGTGCTTCGCTCTGCCATACCCCCAAAACCACCACCACCACCACCACGATCACCATCACTACCGGAGTCGTCACTATAACCACCCGCATACGCCCCCCCCTCGTCCCCTCCATCCTCCCCCCAATTCCCATCCCCACTCCTCCCTCTCGCACTCTTTCCTCTCCCCCTCTCTTCCTCCGATTCATCTTCCTCAGACTCCTCAACCTCCTCTCCCCCCTTTTGGCCCCGTTTCATCCGCATTTTCCTCCGCCACAGCCGGTCAGCCAGCCTCACAAGAGCATTCACCTCCTCCTGCCTCACATGAAACGTCTCATCCAGAATCCCCCTCAGCCCCTCCGGTACCCACTCCCCCTCACCTCCCCTCCCACCTGCCGCCCCTCCCACCTCTCCTCCACCCATTCCTCCCACCGCTGCTCCCCCTATTCCTGCCTCCGGTCCTCCTTCCCCTGTTTCCCCTCCTGCTGCAGCACCTGCTTTTCGCCCAGTCCTCCCAGCAACGAATGCTTCCAGTTGGTGGCGCTCCAGGAAGCATCGCAGCCACCCAGTGCTGTAGCGGAACGAGGGGGACACGCCCACAAGCGGGCCCAGGCGCTTGGCGTATGCCAGTATCTGAGGGACCGTCATTAGCGGGGTAGGGGGGGCTGTTGTCGCTGCTCCTGCTCCTGCTCCTGCTGCTCCTGCTCCTCCTGCTGCTCCTGCTGCTGCTCCTCCTGCTCCTCCTGCTCCCTCTCCCCCCGCTTCCCCTCCTGCTCCTGCCCCTTCACCTCCATTCCCTGCCGCCCCACCCTCTCCCGCTCCCTCCCCACCCCCCTGCCCGCCCATCCTAGCAGCAGCCCCCCTCACAGCCATAGCAAGAGCCTCCTCTAACTGCACCTCTCTCCCCTTGCGCGCCCGCACCATGCCCCGCTGCATCGTCTCCCTCATCACCCCCTCCATGCCCAGCAATTTGGCCGCTTTCAACCGCTCTAGCTTCACATTGTACCGCTTCTGCAGGGCCTGGTGCACGATCACGTGGGGGAGGTCGGGGCGGGCGCGGTACACGGCACACGCAGCGAGCTTCAGCGGCAGAGGCACCTGCATGCGTTGCTTCACACCACCGCTGTTACCACCACCGCCGTTACCACCATCGCTACCGTTACCCCCATCGTTATTACCGTCTTGGTTCAGAGCCCCCCTGCCTCCTTTCCTGCCTGCTTTCCTGCCTCCTTTCCGCGGCAACAGCCCCTCTTCCTGCAGCAAGGCCACCGGCTCGCCTGCCTTGATCTTCTCAATCAGAGCCATGATCCTCCCTGCTAACTCGTCTCCTTCCCTTGCTGCTGCTGCCTTTTCTGCATTTTTTTCCCCTGCTGCCTTTTCTGCATTTTTTCCCGCTGCTGCCTCCCCTGCTGTAGTCTCTCCTCCTGCTGCCTCCCCTCCTGCTGCCTCCCCTCCTGCTGCCTCCCCTCCTGCTGCCTCCCCTCCTGCTGCCTCCCCTCCTGCTGCCTCCCCTCCCTCCTCCCTTCCCTCCTCGTCCCCCGTTTCCTCATTCCCCTCGCCCTCACCGCCGCCATCAGTACTAGCACCATCGTCTGTAGTCACACCTCCCCTCTCTCCATCCGTCCCTACCTCATCCCCTTCCCCCTGCCCCTCCCCCGCCTCCCTCTCCCCCTCGCCCTCCCCATTCCCGCCCCCACCCGCCCCAGCCTCTCCCCCTTTCGCCACATCCCGCCTAATACTCTTGAGGTTCAGCCCGTGGCGACGCAAAAACCTCGCCACCCAGCCATGGCTGTAAGTAAAGGTTTTCCGCACGCCCATGCGCGGCCCTAGCTGCTTCGCATACCCTTTCACATCCTCATAGACTAAAACGTCCTCCCCAAACTTGCCCTTCATCTCCTGTACCCACTCCACAAGCGCCCTCTCAAATTCCGGGTATTTCGGCTTTCTATACCGGAAACGGGTTCCCATGTCCTGCGACCGAAGGTAATAGTCCCTGTGGGACAGCATTTTGCGAATGTTGCAGTACGGCACTCTCTCGAGAAACTTACCCCCGCATTCCTGGGTAATTAGCTGCAATAGCCCTTTGACCCGCAACTCAGGCACAGCCTGCTGGAGCAAGCACATAGCCCGCTTGACCTTCACGGTAAGGTAAAAATGCCGCCGAGTCCGGTACTTCATTCCCCGCCGTGACTGATTCCGTGCACCACTCCCCCCCCGCCCCCCACCTGCCGCTGCCGCCGCCGCTGCCGTTGCTGCTGCGCTGTCTGCTTTTTCCCAGAAGCTCCAGTCGCAGCACCGGCAGCAGCAGGGGCGGCAGGCACAGACAGAATATCCCCCGCGGCAGCAATGGCAGCAGCAGGCAGCGCTCCTGTCGCCTCAGCCAGAGCAAGCGAGGCCAAATCAGAGGGAGCCACTGCCCTCACACGGAGCGACCCACCCCCGTCCTCTGATATCGTGCCGTCGGCTATTGCCTCTGCTAGAGCTAATTCTGCTAGGGTAGGGCGAGGGGAGCGGTCTGCTAGGTTGGTGGCCCCTCCTTCATGCTCTCCCCCTCCCTCACGCACCCCCCCTTCGCCATGCACTTCCCTTCCCTCCTGTGTTTCCACCACCTGTCCCATTTCCTCCCATCCACCCTCACCGTCCCTCTCCTCCGATTCCTCCTCCCTCTCATCCCCCTCCTCATCCCCTTCCTCCCCACTCCCCTCCTCACCCTCCTCATCCCCCTCACTCTCCAATTCAATCACCTCATGCCCATCCGCAGTCCACTCGCTATGCCTCCTCCTCCTCCGCCCCTTACCACCTCTCCCAGCCTCCCTAATCTCTGGCCCGAACATCCGATCAGCAAGCTCTAAAAGAGGAGGGCCGGGATTCTGCCCCTCAGCAGCAGCACCCCCGCCCCCCCCCTCGCCCTCCCCGTCGCCTTCCTCCTCCTCCTGAAAGTGTGCTTCCCTTGCTGCATCCAGATGCTTCTTTGAATACCCCCACCGCTCCAGAAACCGCATCACCCATCCAGTGCTGTACCTGCATTTGGGCCGGGAGAGCACAGGAGGGACGGTGGCAGCGGAAGCAACGGGGTTAGAGCCCCCCCAAAGGTTGATTGGAAAGCAGTATGACGCAATTGAGTGCTTCCACTTCTTGATCCTTTACTATCCTTCTGAGGCACCTCAAGATTCTACCTGTCTGCCATTCAATCACACATACTCGCAGCAAATCGCAGCCCCGCCTTGAAGCGAGAGGTCAGATGCTCCAGAAGTACGCTTACTATCGAGTCACAAGCGAGGCACATGCGAGTCACAAGCGAGGCACATGCGAGTCACAAGCGAGGCACATGCGAGTCACATGCGCGTACACAAGATCCCATCCCCATTTACAAAAACAGCAGCAGGTGGACGCTCCATGTTCCGAAGTTTAGGGTTTCGAGCTTGAAGTTGAGAATTGAGAGCTGAAAATCCGCTGGGACTCACTTGAAATCCGCCGGGGCGCTATGCTGAGGGCCAAGCTCCCGGGCCTTGTCGGAGATTCTAGCCAGCGCTATGCGGCCGTGCAGGCGCTCCTCCTTGTACCACGCGGCCAGGGCCTCCTCGAGGGCGTGAGGTATACGTTCTGGGGTTTGGGGTTTCGAATTTTAGGGATTTGATATTTGCAAGCACTCACTTGAAATCTGCCGGGGCGCCATACTGAGGGCCGAGCTCCCGGGCCTTGCCAGAGACTCCAGAGAGCGGAATGCGGCCGTGCAGGCGCTCCTCCTTGTACCACGCGGCGAGGGCCTCCTCGAGTGCGAAGCACTCTGGCATGCGCACGCGCATGCCCTTGACAAACTTCACGTTGCGGTCGTCAAACCAGCGGCTCTCGTCCTTTAAGATTTTGGTCACGTGTGACGGCTCCATTCGTAGCCCGGGGAAGCGAATCTGCCAAGGAGGGAGTTTGGGAGGGGGTTTGGGAGGGGGGGGTGGTTGAGGGGGAGAGGGGTTGGGGAGAGGGTTTCACGAGAAGAAATTGGGAAGAGGGGTTGGGGAGGGAGAGCGCTCCTCCCTGAGGGGTTGGGGAGGGAGAGCGCTCCTCCCTGCAGGGTTGGGGAGGGAGAGCGCTCCTCCCTGCACCACGCTGCAAGGTCCTTCTTGAGTGAGCGCGGTACACTCAGGCATGCTCGCAGTTGAGCACACATGCTCGCGGTTGAGCACACATGCTCGCGGTTGAGGGCACACATATCCCGCTTGGTGTGAACGTCCATCTTGCTCTGCCCCTGGTGAGCCCCTGCTAGGCAGCACACTCACCCCTCTCACCACACACACCCCTCGCACCACACACACCACTCCCACCACACTCACCCCTCGCACCACACACACCACTCCCACCACACTCACCCCTCGCACCACACACACCACTCCCACCACACTCACCCCTCGCACCACACACACCACTCCCACCACACACACCACTCCCACCACACTCACCCCTCGCACCACACACACCACTCCCACCACTATCACCACTATCACCACTCCCACCACTCTCACCTGCAGCAGAGGCGCACCTGTAGAAGCTGCACGCTGTTTGCACGGGTCAGCCCTGGACACGCAAGTTTGAGGGCGCACACTCACCACGCCCATGATACACACCGCGCAAACTGCACACACCGCACACACCGCACACACCGCACACACCGCACACACCGCACACACCGCACACACCGCTCGCACCGCGCACACCGCACACACCGCACACACCGCACACACCGCACACACCGCACACACCGCACACACCGCGCACACCGCACACACCGCACACACCGCTCGCACCTGCAGCAGCTGCACGATATTGGTGTGGGTGAGCCCTGGGCGCTCGCGTTTGAGGATGCACATCTCGCGCTTGGTGAGCACGTCCAGCTTGTTCTGCCGCTTCACCCGCTCGTTCCGCAGCCGAATAGGCCGCCACTCCCCATCGTCCTCCACCCCACCTTCCCCCGCTGCTGCTGCTGCCCCATCTGCTGCTGCCCCCCCTCCTGCCGCTCCTCCACCTCGCGCACCTGCTGCTGCCCGTTCCGTTCCTCCCACCCCATCCGCTCCTGCTGCTGCTGCTGCCCTCACTGCATCTGCTCCTCCTCCCGCCGCTCCTACTCCCTCGGACGTCCACGGCGCAGTGTCGCCATCACCCTCATCATCTAAGGGCACTGTCCCCATCTCTATCTCCCAATCCACCCCTCCGTCCAGCCCTTCTCCTGCTGCTGCCGCCGCTGCACCCGTCGCTGCTCCTCCTCCTGCCCACGCTGCTCCTGCTGGTGTTTGTGCTGCCGCAGCAGCAGCACCATCAATAGCATCACCACCACCAGCAGCAGCAGCACCCAGAGCACCAGTTTCAAGGGCAAGCGCAGCACGGGCAGCAGCAAGCCCAGCAAGATAGCCTGCAGAGAAGCCTCCCCGGCCCCTGCCCCTGCCCCTGCCCATGCGCCCGCCCATGCCCCTACCCACGCCCCTACCCATTCCCACAGGTATACCTCCACCTCGGCCCCCTGGCATGCCTCTACCCATGTCCGTACCCATGCCTCTACCCATGTCCGTACTCATGCCTCTACCTATGTCCCCAGGCATGCCCCCAGGCATGAACCTACCCATGCCAATACCCATGTCCCGAGCCATGTCCCTACCCATGCCCTCGCCCATTCCCCCATCCATGCCCCTACCCATTCCCCCAGCCATGTCTCTACCCATGCCCCTGCCCATGCCCCTGCCCATGCCCCCACCCATGCCCCTACCCATGCCTCTGCCCTGCCCCGCCAACAAAGCTCCCCTCCCCCTTCCTCTTCCCCCAGCTACCACGCTGCCTCTACCACCACCACCAGCCACATCTGCATCAGCGCTAGCAGCACCAACACCACCAACACCCGCCGCACCTGCACCAGCGGTAGCAGCCTCATCGCCAGTACCAGCGGCGCCAGCAGCAGCAGCAACTGAACCAGCCAAGGAAGCAGCAGCAGAGGCGGGGGGAGCACCAGAAACAGGAGCCACAGAAGCAGCAGCAGGGGGGGCAGCAGCAGCGGCAGCAAAAGAGATATTCTGACCTCTGGCTCGTCCCTCGCCTTGCCCCAGCCCCCCCGCCCCCTCGTCTCTCCTCCCCACCCCTTCTTCGAGCTCTCCAACTCCCCTTCCCCTGACCATTTCCCTTCCCCTGCCACTCCCCCTCCCCCTTCCGCTTCCCCTGCCTCTCCCCCTCCCGCCTCTCCCTGTTTCCCTCCCGCCACCCCCAGGCACTAATGGTGAAAGGGCATGGGCGTGAGTGGGAGGATGGGAAGAGTCACGGGTCGACTCAAAGGGCACAGATGCAGGAGGGAGGGTGTGCATCTGGGTGGGGGGGTGGCGAGCTGCTTCAGGAACGGAATACGGCCTGACATGCTCACGACTTGGAAGTTGTGCAGGGGGTGCTGCTGCAGAACCCTGAATGGCAGGGGCTACTACTGAGGCTTGCTGTAGCTGCTGCTGCCGAGCCTGTTGCTGCTGCTGTTCCTGCTGCTGCTGTTGCCGCCGCTGTCGCTGCTGCTGTGGTTGCTGTCTCTGCTGCTGCGGTTGCTGTCTCAGTTGTTGTTGCTGTTGCTGCTGCTGCTGCTGCTGCTGCTGCTGCTGCTGCGGCTGCCGCTGCTGCCGCCCCCGCTGCTGCTGCTGCTGCTGCTGTTGCTGTTGCTGCCGCACCTGCTGCTGCTGCTGTTGCTGTTGCTGCCGCACCTGCTGCTGCTGCTGTGGAGGGTGCGGAAGAGTCGTGTGCCTGTTGCCAGTCCAGTTCACTCGCTGCCATCGTGCACCCACACTGCCAGCAGCGGCAGCAGTGGCAGCAGTGGTAGCAGTGGCAGCAGTGGTAGCAGCAGTGGTAACAGCAGTGGCAGCAGCAGCAGCAGTGCTGGCATTGGCAGAAGCAACAGGAGTGGCAGCAGCAGCGCCGGCAGCAGGAGCAGCAGCGCCGGCAGCAGCGGCGCGGAAGGCAGCGGTGGTGACGGCTTCAGTGGCCTCTTCACCTGGCAGAACAAGCTCGTCCATGTCCACGTCAGCACCGTCCATGTCCACGTCAGAGCCGTCCATGTCCACGTCAGCACCGTCCATCAGCTCTGAATCTGATGCTTCGTCCGCACTGTCCACTGCCACGTCTGCTGTTGCTGCTGCTGCTGCCGCACCAGAAAATTGTGCAATTGGGCTTGCAGGGTGTGGCAAAATCGGGTCTTCCTGCCGCCGCCGCCGCTGCTGCTGCTGCTGCGCTTGTTGGGCAACTGGTTGCCGCTCCTGTCCGTGCTGCACCTGCTGCTGTGCCAACTGTTCCTGCCACTGCTGCCACAGAAACTGCTGCTGCTGCTGCTGCTGTTGCTGCTGCTGCTCCTGCTGTAGCTGTCGTTGTCGCTGCCTCTCCTGCTCCTGCTGCTGTTGTTGCTGCCGCTGTCGAAGCATCTCTTGATCCTGCTGCTGCTGCTGCAGTTGCTGTCGCTGTCTCTCTTGCTCCTGCTGCTGCTGCAGCTGCTGTCGCTGCCTTTCTTGCTCCTGCTGCAGTTGTTGCTGTCGCTGCCTTTCATGCTCCTGCTGCAGTTGTTGCTGTCGCTGCCTTTCTTGCTCCTGCTGCAGTTGTTGCTGCCACTGCCTCTCTTGCTCCTGCTGCAGTTGTTGCTGCCGCTGCCTCTCTTGCTCCTGCTGCAGTTGTTGCTGTCGCTGCCTTTCTTGCTCCTGCTGCAGTTGTTGCTGCCGCTGCCTCTCTTGCTCCTGCTGCAGTTGTTGCTGCCGCTGCCTCTCTTGCTCCTGCTGCAGTTGTTGCTGTCGCTGCCTCTCTTGCTCCTGCTGCAGTTGTTGCTGTCGCTGCCTCTCTTGCTCCTGCTGCAGTTGTTGCTGTCGCTGCCTCTCTTGCTCCTGCTGTTGTTGTTGCTGTCGCTGTCGCAGCATCTCTTGCTCCTGCTGCTGCTGCTGCAGCTGCTGTTGCTGTTGATGCTGCACCTCTTGTTGTTGCTGTTGCTGCAGCAGCAACAGCAGTTGCTCATCATCTAACCGCTGCTGCTGCAGAAGCTCCCGCGGCTGCTGCTGCTGCTGCGGCTGCTGTTGCTGCTGCTGCTGCTGCTGCCGCTGCTGCCAGTCATCCACATACCGCACGTCCCCTTGCTGCCTCCCTTGCAACGCCTGCAAGCCACCACCACCATTTTCCCCGTACTCGTTACTGCGAAACTGCATATCGTTAAGACCCTCTCCTTGAACCCTTTCACGGCCTTCCGGGTGCTCTTGAAGCCGCTCATACCCCATATTAGCAGCACCCGTTTCAAGAGTAGGCACTTGACCGCTCGCCCTAGCGTCTGCAGTTGCGCTGTCCCTAGGAACCTGAATCAGTTCACCTTCTCCTATTGCATCAAGCCACCACTCCCGCCGAGGCTGCTGACGTGGCACGGGCTGTTCACGCGCTACAGGCTCCTGAAACGTGTGCTGAAGCGGCGCGGGCTCCTGAAACGGCTGGTGACGCGGCACGGACTCCTGACGCGCATGCTGACGTGGCAGAGGCTCCTGACGTGGCTGCCCATGAAGCATGGGCTCCAGGCTCCTTCGCGAATTCTGTGCCACGCCTTGAGGCATCACAACGTCTGGCTGCATCCGAGCTTCGGGCGGCGCCACCTGTGCGGCCATGCCCTGCGCTGCCATGGCCTGTGGTGTCATGTCATGCGGTGTCATGACTTGTCGTATCAGAGCTTGCGGTGCCACGCCTTGCGAGTGGGTCACATGGTGACTCGAAGTACTGCCATAGGCGTCCCTTGCGCCAACGCTGCGCCCGCGCCCTTCGCGCCCATCCCTCCCGTCGCGCCACTCGCCGCCCCCATGCCCCACATGCCCCTCAATCCCCTCGTGCCCCTCAGCAGGTCGAAGCGCCGCAGTGCGCCCAGCATGCCCTGACGCAGCGCCGCCCAAGCCCACGCCAGCAAGCGCACCCACAGGAGGCTCGTGGCTCATCCCACGGTTTAAGCCGCGGTTGAATGCGGTGAGTAAGTCTTGATCTGCCGCCGCGACCTCCGGCTCCCGCCCATGCAGGCCTACCTCCCCTGCCGCTGCTGTCGAAACTCGCGCCGTTCCCGCAACCCCCATGCCTGCCGTTGCCATGCCTCTCCTCTCCGGGCCTGTCATTCCCGTGTTTGCCATTCCCGTGCCTGACATTCCAATGCCTGTTATTCCCGTGCCTGCTTGCTCCGCGACCAACCTAGCCCCAGTCGCTCCTCCTCCTCCTACTGCCATTCCGCCCGCTGGGGGAACTCCCGACCCTGCAGACGCTAACAGTTCCGTCGCGGTATCCGTCCATAGCCCTGTCCTGTTTCCTAGCGAAGCAGCCAACATCGCGTCTGCCACGGAAGCGACGACACTTGCTTGCTCGCGATTTGCTTGCGATTGGCTGGTTAGAGTCGGTTGCAGAGTTTGCTGGTTTGGCGTCGTACTCGTTTGAAACTGATTCGTGAGACTCGTTTGGAGCTGGTTTCCCGTACTCGCTTGTAGCTGGCGCCAGAAGGCGAGAATATCTTGAACTCCGACGTCTCTGTCTTGCGGAGTGACTTGCAGCCCTGAAGTTGTCGCCGTCACGTGATTGGTTGGTGCGTTGGCGGGACCTTCCTGCGCGACGGACGGCCATGCGACAGGCGAAGCCTCCTGAAGGCGATGTTGCTGGTTGTGGTAACCACCTTCCTGCTGCTGCAATTGTTGGTGGTACACTTTGCTGCTGCTGCTGCTGCTGCTGTGGGTAAGCTTGCTGCTGATGCTGGTTCTCTTGCTGCTGGTAACCCTGTTGCTGCTGTTGATAGCCCTGTCGATGCTGCTGATTTTGGTTGTGCTGTTGCTGATAGATAACCGGTTCCTGCTGCTGCTGCTGCTGCTGTTGTTGTTGCTGCTGATAACCATGCTGGAGCTGCAGTTGCTGAGGATACTGCTGAGGTGGTTGTTGTTGCGGCTGTTGCTGGTAAAGTTGCTGATGCAAGCCAGCAAACGGTGGTTCAACAGAGGGCGATCGACCTATGGAACCCAGAAAAGGAAACGTATTTCGTTGACTCCTATCTGCCATTGCGTCGAATTGAAAACAAGCAGGAAACTAGTACGGAAGCCGAAACATTAAGGAAAGTGCAAGAGCATGGAGTCGAAGGGAGTGGAGTGTCGTTGAAGCGTAGATTGATACAGTCTATGCTAGCACGTGTGCCTTGCAATGTCCATGGCTGAGTTTTCCTACAAAACAGCGCAGGGAGTGAGAGGGGGGTTGTGATATAACTAGGGCAAAATCACGAAACCCAATTCGGTAACCAAAGCAGCCGAAACCCTAGTTTACCCCAGCAGCATTCGTCAAAACAAACTGGTGGTCACCCCTCTGCAACCCCGAGGTCTCGATTACAGCCCAACCTCCAAGCTTGCGGAGATTGGGGGGAGGCGCGCAATTTGGTCCGGCGGGAATGACATTTTGAGGTTTGGTTTTGTGATAGCTCCCCTGTCAAGGTGAGCTGACCTGTGGTATATCGACGGCTCTCATTTGTGTCATTTCGCAATTCAAAATTGTGAATCGACGGCCAAACGTCGTTCACGGTATATCTCGTAAGAACTTGATTCGCATTTGTCAATTGTGCATTCGTCCCGAAACATTCACATGAACCCTCGCAAGACTTAATTCATTTGTAATTCGCTAGTTCAACCCGTCTATGCTGCAATGCTTCGTATCATATTGAGCTTCACATCAACACGTGGCGTTGGATGCTCATGTGCTTATATTTTTACTCTATTTGGAAGCATAGAAAAACGTGATTAGTTATAAGTACGCGCACTTATATCGGGGGTGACATGATGTATGCATGTGCGCACTCCATAACGAACATAAGAATGATCATCAAGCTACCTTGTTGGATGGCTTACTATAATGTTTGGATTTACATTGATTAGAAGCACGTGGAGTGTTTATGAACCCCCACCCCCTCCATAGAGTCCCCACCAGCACTGTTTGAATTTACGGTGGCAGTGTTCTTATGTGTGGTAATGAGTAAGGAAATATCGCGTTGAATCCTCACGTGGTCGTGATTCGTGATTCTTGAATCTGCCATCGACTTGAGGAGGCGTGGTTCAACGTACATTGAACACTTCAGGTCAGGAAAGCTTGAACCTAACCGAGCCTCCAGGTTCGGAGTTTGGCAAACCAATAGCGTGGCTTTCAAACTTGTCGGTGTGGTTGCACAACTATGAGCCCAAGGCAAATCTTTCAAGTGTGAATCTGTTCGCGTGGCATTCAGCGAGTGGATATATTCATATCTGCTGACTGTACTTGTGAAAGAGTGGATGCCACGCTGGCTTGACCGAAGATTATCGGAGGAAACCGCTGACGAAGGCTTTCTTCCCGCCGTCGTCGAAACTCGAGAGGGGAAAGTCGATATTGCAATTCTGTGCATAAATTGTCGTCCCAAGGCTCTCGCATTTCAGTCATCATTCACATTCTTGGAGTTCGCATTTCTGCCGATCATCACGATTCACGATGTCTTACTGTGAGTGCCGCCTTCCAGCCTCTCACAATGCTGCTAGTCGTGACCTCTAGCGCGGAAGTACTGACTTGTTTGTCATCAATGTTCGAATTCTCCTTGCAGCCGGCGAAAGCAGCCCCAGCCCGTATGACTATCCTCTCCCAGGTATGGCTCTATCCTACCTTATTAGCGTTGTGTGTACGGGGGTTTTCCCTGATTTGTCGATGAATTCGTAAAAGTTCTCATGATTTCGCCATCCTAATGCAGGTGGTCCGGCACCACGTGGAGATGTCGTCGTGACTGGCCTTACCGGCGGATACGGCAGCGAGAAGAAGGGCAAGGGACACCACTACGGCGGCAAGGGCCACGGTCACTATGGCCATCACGGACACCACGGACATCACGGCGGACACGGCAAGCACAAGGGTGGCCATTACGGTCACCATGGTGGCAAGCACAAGGGTGGCCATTACGGACACTATGGCCGCAAGCACAAGTAGCAAGCTCGCACCTTGTAATTTTGTGAATATGTCGCCGAAGACCTGTGTTCAGCGATTTGCGCATTTGACAACCAAGAAAGTATTCTGATATATACTGCACGAGAATGTAGGGTCCTTACTTTCTTGTGTTATTCGCATTGGACCTGACTACTCAGTATCCTTCGGCTGGACTCGACAAACTCTACAATTTGTCACCTGTTTAGCTCAGTCCTAACTGACATCCATGAAGTTACCGTACATGACGGAATTTGAAGGGCAACAAGATCAAACGTTACGGCCAGCCAGGTCACACGTTCTTTACCAATTAGGACCTGACCTGACAACTTTGCACACAGAAATCCATGTTGTGGGCCCACCCTGTTCTGTCCGCCAGTTAGAGTCCTACCAATGCCTGTGAAATGTGGGAAGTATCTGGTGGGAAATAAGTATGTGGTTGTGCCCCATCTTGTATTCCAGGTGCCCCTATGAGGTGTACCATATGTGTGGGGGAGGTAAGTACCAGCGGCTGAGCATACACAACAGAACTGCATGCTAAGCTAGCCTTTCTTCTGAGGAGTCTCAGAACTAATAGGCTTATTAGTTGAGGCTGCAATATACACACATCAAGGTGGGTCCGTCCTTCCAAGGTTTGCATCAAAATGCTCAAGCGCACAGCGCTCATTATTGCACGATGCAGTGCCCACAGGACTCCAGGAAAGTGGGGTAGCCCTCACAGAACCCCCCGCGCCCACTCCCCCCCTTCTTCTTCCCCGTTTTGACAGCCAGCACCCCACGCTGTGGTGCACACAGAATATGTACATTTCACGATGCTACATCCAACTACCGGTAGTATCCCCACTTTGGTCAATCTCACAGTGAACTGATCAAGAATCAAGGCTCCTCAGCTCCCACTTCCAACTCCTCACAGCTCTCCACACTCTACAACAAATACCAGTCATCTGGCTTCCACTAATGACACCCTACCTCTCCCCCCCAGCACACACCGCTTCCTCTCCTTCCCCCTCACCTTGGACATTGTCCCACCACTCTTCGCCGCATCCAGCCCCAGCGTCGGACATCCCAACCCGAGCCTCTTGCCAAGCCAGCAGCTGGGCCCACCGGGCCTCGAGGGCTCGGTCGAGAGCAAGAGCCTCCTCCCTGTGGCGCCCGAAGGCCTCTGCCTTGGCCCTCTGGTGCTCCTGCTGCAGCCTTTGCAGCTGCCGATTGTACCACTGCTTCCCGGCAGCTTCTCTCTAGCTTACTAGCTTAACACCAGCCCCCCAGCACACACCGTCTCATCCCCTTCCCCCTCAACTTCATCATCGCCGCCATGCCCGGCCTCAGCCTCGGGCATCCCAACCCGAGCCTCCTGCCGAGCCAGCAGCCTGGACCACCGAGCCTCGAAGGCTCGGTCGAGAGCAAGAGCCTCCTCCCGGTGGCGCCTGAAGGCCTCTACCTTGGCGCTCTGGTGCTCCTGCTGTAGCCTATGCAGCTCCCGGCTGTATGCCACTGCTTCCTGGCAGCTTCCCTCCAGACTCTTGGTCGTGCTCCAGATATTTTCAGTGTCTCTCTCTGCCTCTGTTCCCTCAATCCCCCCACCGTTTCCACCAGCGGCAGCAGTGCCAGCAGCGGTGGCAGCTGCGGAGGAAGCAGCCAAGGCTAGAATTTGTTGTTCACACGCCGCTCGCCACCTCCTCCGCCACTCCACCTCCCTCCCTGCCAGCACCTGCAGCCGACCCTCCACCTGCTGCTGCTGCACGTCGAACGACGCCTCCAGGCCGTCCAGCTGGCAGGGATTGGGTGGGCGGGGAAAGGGGGAAGCAGGAAGTGAGTGCAGCAGCGGAGAGCAAGTGCCTTGCTTCGCCCCTCCACCTGCTGCTGCTGCACATCAAACGCCGCCTCCAGGCCGTCCAGCTGGCAGGGATTGGGTGGGAGGGGGAAGGGAATAGGATGAAACGGGAGAGCAGAAGGGGAGGGCAGTCTCCCTGGTTCAACCCTCCACCTGCTGCAACTGCACATCAAATGCCGCTTCCAGGGTGGCCAGCTGGCAGGGATTGGGTGGGCGGGAGAGGGATGGATGCGGAGGTGAGAGCAAAAGAAGAGGGGAATTGCCTTGGCTCGCCCTTCCCTCCATCTGCTGCTGCTGCTGCACGTGGAGTGGAATGTCGCCTCTGGGCTGTCCAGCTGGCAAGGTTCAAGTGGGACGGAGAGACATGAGAAATGAGAAACGAGAGGCGAGGGCAATGTAGTTTTGAGGCACCTCAAAACTAGTCTGCTGCTGCTGCACATGGAATGTCGCCTCTGGGCTGTCCAGCTGGCAAGGTTCAAGTGGGACGGAGAGAAATGAGGAACGAGAGGCGAGGGCAGTGAGGGGCAGCAAGCCCATGAGTTGCGGTTGCTCGCTGCTCCTTTCGGTGCTACTGTGTGCCAAATGCCACTTCCAGGCTGAGAAGGTGGGGGCGTAAGGACAGAGCTCATGGGACAGAGCTCGTGGAACCAGGAAGTTGACTTTGTTTTTCTCGCGCAAGCAAGTAGGCAAGTGCTGCTGCTGTCCCTTTGTATCAACGGCGCGACTGCGATGGCCAACAAAGGGACAAGAATAGGAAGACAAAGTTTTTGACACTGCTTTTGTTTTTTACGACAAAAAGGTAGCACTTGGAGATCAGCAGAACAGGAAGTTGAGACACTTTTTAAACCACAGAGGAGACAGGGGAAAGGAGACAAGGGAGCAGAGAGAGGGAGAAAGGAGAGGAGTTAGAGGGAGAAGGGAGAGGAGTTAGAGGGAGAAGGGAGAGGAGTTAGAGGGAGAAGGGAGAGGAGTTAGAGGGAGAAGGGAGAGGAGTTAGAGGGAGAAGGGAGAGGAGTTAGAGGGAGAAGGGAGAGGAGTTAGAGGGAGAAGGGAGAGGAGTTAGAGGGAGAAGGGAGAGGAGTTAGAGGGAGAAGGGAGAGGAGTTAGAGGGAGAAGGGAGAGGAGTTAGAGGGAGAAGGGAGAGGAGTTAGAGGGAGAAGGGAGAGGAGTTAGAGGGAGAAGGGAGAGGAGTTAGAGGGAGAAGGGAGAGGAGTTAGAGGGAGAAGGGAGAGGAGTTAGAGGGAGAAGGGAGAGGAGTTAGAGGGAGAAGGGAGAGGAGTTAGAGGGAGAAGGGAGAGGAGTTAGAGGGAGAAGGGAGAGGAGTTAGAGGGTGGTGCATGTAATCCATGCAACTCATCTCATTCGCACTTTTACACCTCTCACTGCTGCATTCCACTCCATCCAACCGCACCGCACTGTACCTCATTCCAGTGCCTCAGCTCTGCCTCCACTGCTGTCTGCCACAGCGACAGCACCTCCTGCTCACTTGCGCCCACTCCAGATGCCACCTCCACCAGACGCGCCTTCACCCCCTGCTCCTCCCTCGATGACTTTCCAAAAGTCGAATCAAAAATCTCCCCACTCACGCCCACCCCAGATGCCACCTCCACCAGACGTGCCTCCAAAGCCTCCTCATCCCTTGCAGTCGCTCTCTCCTCTATCTGTACCCGGCTCTTAGTCCCCTCCGTCTCCTTCCCAGGCCACTGCTGCTTGCCCGCATGCCTCTGCTCCCTCTCACTCTTCTGCTCCTCTGTGTCTTGCTGTTCCGTAACACAATCCTCGGCTGCTACACCTGCTTGGTCTCCCGACCCATCGTGCACTGCTACAGCCGCAGCAGCTGCACAATGCTCCTCCGCTACAGCTACTTGGTCCCCCCACCCATCCTGTACTGTTACTTGGGATTTACTCGGCAGCTGCTGGACTGGGGCTGCTTTACCAGATGCCCACTGCTGCTGAGGGTACTTTGGCCAGGCACCCTCCAGCATCGCCAGAAGCTTCCTGTTGGCTTCCTTGGCCTGCTCTAGCTCCGCCTGGAGCTGAGACGCTGCCACTTGTCCCGACACGATTCGATGAGACATCTGAGCAGGAGGAGAATCAAGGTGTCAGTTGCTTTGAACAAAGCTGGGGGGGGACGGTCTAAGGCACCACAGTTTGATTTCACCATGGCAAGAGTATCATCTCAAGAAAGCAACCTCTATCTCACCTTGACAACCGTTTCATCTCACCATGGCAACCGTTTCATCTCACTATGGCAACCGTTTCATCTCACCATGGCAACCGTTTCATCTCACCATGGCAACCGTTTCATCTCACCATGGAAACCGTTTCATCTCACCATGGCAACCGTTTCATCTCACCATGGAAACCGTTTCATCTCACTATGGCAACCGTTTCATCTCACCATGGCAACAGTAGCCTCCAGATTGGGCGCCTGAGCAGCCCTCTCTCGCACCGCTCTCAACCGCTCATCCACCACTGCGTACCGCTTCTTCACATCCACTCTCAGCTGCGTCTTCCCTGCCACGTGGCATGCATGGGATGGGGCATGCATGGGATGGGAAATGTGGCATGCATGGGATGGGAAATGTGGCATGCATGGGATGGGAAATGTGGCATGCATGGGATGGGAAATGGGGCATGCATGGGATGGGAAATGGGGCATGCATGGGATGGGAAATGTGGCATGCATGGGATGGGAAATGTGGCATGCATGGGATGGGAAATGGGGCATGCATGGGATGGGAAATGTGGCATGCATAGGATGGGAAATGTGGCATGCATGGGATGGGAAATGTGGCATGCATGGGATGGGAAATGTGGCATGCATGGGATGGGAAATGTGGCATGCATGGGATGGGAAATGTGGCATGCATGGGATGGGAAATGTGGCATGCATGGGATGGGAAATGTGGCATGCATGGGATCGGAAATGTGGCATGCATGGGATGGGAAATGTGGCATGCATGGGATGGGAAATGTGGCATGCATGGGATGAGGCATGCATGGGATGGGGCATGCATGGGATAAGCCATGGATGAGGGACGTTGCATGCTATGCCACGAGCCTCATGTGCCGTGCGCCATGTGGTATGCACCAAGCGCAATGTGCTATGCACCATGTGTTATGCACCATGTGCTATGCACCATGTGCTATGCACCATGTGCTATGCACCATGCATTATGCGCCATGTGTCATCAGCCATGCTGGGAGGGCACAAATTCTGTAACGAGAACATTATTTGTGTCCCCCTTGAGCATTCTTTACATGCCCCATCAACCCCTCATGACCCATCAACCCCTCATGACCCATCAACCCCTCATGACCCATCAACCCCTCATGACCCATCAACCCCTCATGACCCATCAACCCCTCATGACCCATCAACCCCTCATGACCCATCAACCCCTCATGACCCATCAACCCCTCATGACCCAACAACCCCTCATGACCCATCAACCCCTCATGCCCCACCATCCCCCACACCCACCTTTGGTGTGCCTATTGAACTCTGCCACGTCACCCTCCTGTGCCATGTACGCAAACAGGTTCCGCTTGCCGCTTTTGTCCACTAGCGAGGCCGCCGTCCGGCGGATCCAGCCCTGCCGCCCCCTGCCGTCCGCCTGGAAGAGCGCGCTCAGCTGCTCCGCCTGCAGCAGCCCGTCCACTGATGCTTCAAAGACTAGCATGCTTATGCCACGGTGGCCCTGGGGAGGAGCGGCACGGGGAGAAGGAAAGGGAGCGCCAGCAAGGAGGGAGAACGGGGGAGTGAGCCCGCACCGTCCGCCTGGAAGAGCTCGCACAGCTGCTCCGCCTGCAGCAGCCCGCCCACTGATGCTTCAAAGACCAACACACTTAATCCCCGGTGGCCCTGGGAGGGAGTGGCACGGGGAGAAGGAGACGGAGCGCGGGAACAAGGGGAGGGAATGGGGGAGTGAGCCCACACCGTCCGCCTGAAAGAGCACGCTGCAGCAGCCCGTCCACTGATGCTTCAAACACCAACACGCTTACTCCCCAGTGGCACTGGGAGGAAAGCACAGGCAGCACCGCACCGCACAGCCCCGACGGTCTCCTGTACCCGCGGTCCACACACATTATTTCTCCTCCCATACCATACCTGCGGCCCATAGGCGTTCTTGGCCTTGGTGATCAGGTTGCAGTCCGGAATCAGCTGGCACTAGGGGAGGAGGTGGAGAGCTGCGGCAGGCACACCACAACATAACAAAGCACCGCACTGCACTGCACTGCACAGCCCATCCCATGAGCATTCATCTCCCCTACCTGCGGCCCATATGCGTTCTTGGCCTTGGTGATCAGGTTGCAGTCCGGAAACAGCTGGCGGAGCTCCAAGCTGCCCATGCCCACCCACTGGAGCGGAAGGGGGCGGGGGAAGGGGAGGGGGAGGGGGAGGGGGAGGGGGAGGGGGAGGAGGGGGGGAGGGGGGGGGGGAGGGGGAGAGGAGAGGTGAGGAGTGGCGAGAGAAGAGTATGAAATGAAGTCAGGAAACTGCTGGTGAAGCTCCAGGGTGCCCCTCTCCCCTCGCCCCTCTCCCCTCTCCCCTCTCCAGGGTGCCCATGCCCACCCGCTTGCCCCTCTCCCCTCCCTTCCCGTTTGTGCCCCCCACTCACCATTCCATCCTCGTCCGGGCACAGGTGTGTGTTCCTCCCTCACCACCACTGGCGGCCACACTGCACTCTTTCTGTCTTATACTCCAAACACACCGCATCCCACCGCATTCCACCTGCGTGTATCTCACCATTCCATCCTCGTCCAGGCACAGGTGTGTGTTCCTCCCTCACCACCACCACGGGCGGCCACACCACGCTCTGCCTTGTGCTCCAAACCTTATACTCGCAACACACCACATTGCACCGCATCCCACCACACTCCATCGCTTCCCACCTGCGCGTAACTCACCATTCCATCCTCGTCCGGGCACAGGTGTGTGTTGCGCACCACCACCACGGGCGGCCACACCACGCTCTCGTTGCCCTTCTTCCCCCCCTTGGCCCGTGCGCCCCCCAACCCCCTCCATTGATTCACAGGGGGACTACCCAGCAGCACCGACGCTACCCCTGCTGAGAACGCTTGCAGTGGTGGCGATGATGTTGACGCTGCTGGTGCAACCACTGTATCTGCTGCACATCTGCGCATCCCTCCCCCCTCCGCACTCCATCCCTCCCCTCCACTCCCCTCTCCCCTTCCCCTTTCTCCCACTCTCCCACCACCTTCACCCTTTCCCACTCCCCTTCCACCCACGGCAGCATCCCCTCCAGCCACTCCTCCCCCAAGCATCACCAGCCCTGCGCCCTTATCCTTCATCCTCTCCCCAAGAGCAGCAGCAAACGCGCGGTGCTCCTTCATCCTCCTGCTCCTGATGGTAAGCGAGTGCTGCAGCAGCGCCCGCACGCCGTCCCACCACTCTGTCTCGCCCTTCCCGCCCACACACACCGGGCACTTGAACTGCCTCAAGCTGTGCTGCTGGTGCTGCCACTGCCTGCCCTTTCGCCGGTAGTTGCTGCTGTTGCTGCGCCATTCGGACGGTGAGAGGCTGTCGAAATCCCAAAGGAAACGGCGAACGGGCTCGGGTAGCTGGGGGGAGGGTAGCGGGGGAGCATGGAGGGGTCGAATGTAGTGTGCACGCACACACCGGGCACTTGAGCTGCCTCCGCCTCTGCTGGTGCTTCTGCCTGCCTTTGCACCGGTAGTTGCTGCTGTTGCTGCGCCATTCGGACGGTGAGAGGCTGTCGAAATCCCGAAGGAACCTGCGAACAGGCTCGGGTAGCTGGGGGGAGGGGAGCGGGGAGGGAAGGTGAAAGGGGAGGTGGGAAGGGAGGTGTGAGCGAGGGGAGGTGCTTCCCCTAAACCGACGCCACAGCGGCCAGTCATCTGCCAGCGTGCCGTCAAGAAACAGTCTTTGTCAAGAAACAAAGGCTCCCTCCATCACTTCCTCACTGTCCACGTCTTTTGAGACGTCTCGAAACACGCCAGTCATCTGCCAGCGTGCTGTCAAGAAACACCTCCCTCTCTTCCTCGCTCCATCTCTTCCCCACTGTCCACATCCGAGTCGAAGCCCTCGCCGCCGTCCGAGTGGGAATACGTGTTGGATGGCAGGTCGGGAGATGCAGCGCTGTCTACTGCACGCACAACAAGCCAAGCAAACATACCTGAGTGGCCGTCCCTCCTCCTCCTCCCTTTGCTTCCGCTCCTGCCCCACAGCCTGCAAATCCCGCCATGCCCATGCCATAGAGTGGCCAGTCATCGGCCAGCGTGCTGTCGAGGAACAGCGACTCCATCTCCTCCTCGCTGTCCACATGCGAGTCAAAACCCATCCAAGTGCGACCACGCACAGCAAGCAAGCAAGCCAACGTACCTGAGTGGACGCCCCTACTCCTCCCTTTGCTTCCCCACGCTCCGCCATGCCCGCCATGCCCACGCCATAGAGCGGCCAGTCATCTGCCAGCGTGCTGTCGAGAAACAAAGACTCCATCTCCTCCTCGCTGTCCACATCCGAGTCAAAACCCTCGCCGCCATCCGAGTACGAATAGGCATTGGATGGCAAGTCGTCACTGTATGGCAGGTCACCGGACGGCACGTCGCTGGAGGGCAAGTCAGGATATGCGCTATTGCCTCCTGTCTCCTCTCCTTCTTCCATCCGTTGCTCTTCCCCTGCCTCCTCCTCCTCCTCCCCCTCCTTTTCCCTTTCCACCCCTCCTTCCCCCCCCCTCTCCTCCTCTCCCTCCTCTGTGCTACGCAGCCCTTGCTTTCTGCCTCCATCTGTCGCTCCCTCTACCTTTCCACACTCGCTCCCTGCTCCCTCTACCTTTCCACACTCGCTCCCTGCTCCCTCACACTCCCCACCATTCCTCACAACGCTCGCCCATGATCCTGCCACCGGCCCGGAGGAACCTGCTTGAGAATCTGCCGCTGGCGTAGCTGCAATTCCCTGTGCCCCCCCATCCCCTTCCGCCACATTTCCACCTGCCACTGTCACATGGGCAGCAGGACATGCAGCTTCGGAGCCTTCGAGAGCTGCTTCCTCTGCTGCTCCACCAACATTACCAGCAGCAGCAGCAGCAGCAGTCACAGCAGTAAGATCCTGTGTGTTCGCAGCATCACTGCAATCGGCTATACTCACAGCACCATCGGCAGCACCCGCAGCACCATCAGCAGCATCAGCACAATCAGCGCCCACAGCAGCAGTGGCGGCCTCTCTCACCCACTCCTCCGTGCGCTGTGCCTTGCGTGACAGCTTCACCACACTCCCAGGCAGCTGCCCCTGCGGCAGGCCCTGAGGTGCAGACAGGTAGGTTGGGGTCCCCAAACCAGACAGGTGCAGTTGGGGTAGGTGAGGGGACCCCGATGGGGGAAGGTAGGGTGGTGGTGTGGCAGTGAATGGAGGTGATGCTGCTGGCTCGAATGAGCTCCCTGCCATTGCGTCACCACCCTCGCTCCACCCGCCGCCACCACCACCACTGCCAATACTTCCTTCCTCACTCTCTCGCCAACCGTCACTCCCTCTGTAACCCTCACTACCCCCCTGGCCTCTTGAGTCGTCCCCCCAACCTGCTCTTCCCCATCCCCTTCCCCACCGCCCCCTCCCCCACCCCCTCCCCCTCCACCTACCCCTTCCCCTCCCCCATCCGCCCACTGCTCCTCTTTCTGCTGAATGTGACGTGGCAGATGGCCATTCGCTCGGGGAGCCGTCAAGGGGACTGGGAGTGGAAGGGGAGGTTGTAGCTACTGCTGCTGTAGCAGCAGCATCAGCAGACGCAGGAACAACACTAGCGACAGAAAGAGCACTAGCAGAATTGAGCAGCAGCAGCAGCAGCAGCAGGATCAGCATTAGCAGCAGCAGGACCAAAGCCTTTAGGAGGTCCCTTACTCCAAGCGCCCTGTATTGTTACAATTGCTGCACCCCCCCCACTCGCGGCACCACCCCCACTCGCTGCACCCACTGCCTCCTTTTCCCGCTCCTTCTCCCTCTCAGCCCTCTCCTCCAATTCTTTCTGCCTCTCCCTCTCAGCCCTCTCCTCCAATTCTTTCTGCCTCTCCCTCTCAGCCCTCTCCTCCAATTCTTTCTGCCTCTCCCTCTCATCCCTCTCCTGCTGCTCCCTCTCTCGCTCCTGGCTCTCCCTCTCCCTCTCTTGCTCCTCCCTTTCCTTCTCCCTCTCCTCCTTCTCTCTTCCCTTACAGTCCCGCTGCATTGGCGGCTCATACACCTGCCACCCCCTCCTGCCTACCCGCATGGCATTGCCCCCACTGCAGCTGATGGCGCTGCTATTGCTGTTGTTGTTGGTGCTGCTGCCGGTCATGGTCATGGTGTCATCAGCACAATCATCGCCGGCAGCAGTGGCAGCAGCAGCAGCGGCAGCAGATGCAGAAGCTGGTGTGACGGTATTAGGCGTGATGGTAGCAGGAGTAATGATAGCAGGTGTGACAGTAGGAGGTGTTACAGAAGCCAGCGTGACAGTGGCAGGTGTGACAGCGGCAGGCGTGACAGCGGCAGGCGTGACAGCGGCAGGCGTGACAGCGGCAGGCGTGACAGCGGCAGGCGTGACAGTGGCAGGCGTGACAGTGGCAGGCGTGACAGTGGCAGGCGTGACAGTGGCAGGTGTGACAGTGGCAGGTATGACAGTGGCAGGTGTGACAGCAGATGGTGTTACAGCGGCTGCAGCAGCAGCAGCAG